CGCTACCTACACGGGGAAATAATCACGGAGGAAGACTGCGAAAGATACGTCGAAACCATGGAGAAATCCATTACAGCAGCCCTCGACGAACACGCACCTTTCAGAAAAACAACGAGACGAGAACATCTACCACCGGAAATTAATGAAAAGATAGACTTCAGAAACAAGCTGAAACAAATTAAATGACAGGCAAGGCACGGCAGCCTCAACCTACAACGAGAGGCACGTGCCCTCTACAACAAAGCCAAAAAAGAAGCAGACCAAGCACTGAGAGAATATACCGAGAAGGGCTGGCTGGATAAGATCCCGGATCCAAATGACAATAGGTCGCAAATGTGGCGCATCCAACGCAACATGAAGAAACCAATCATGAGACTACCAAACATAACGGGCTGCAAAACGGAAAAAGAGACGATCGACTCACTGACTGAGGCAGCAATAGTAAAAGAGGCAGTAATTGCGACGGAAGATGAGGGCACAGAGAAAACGACCCCGTTCCAGCCACTCGACCCAACATCAAAACACGAAGTCAAATTAGCACTGAGCAGGTTCAAAAACAAAAAGGCTCCCGGGCCAGACGGAATCAAGGCAGACGCCCTCAAACTCGGGGGAGAAGTCTTCACCGAGGCATTTGTGCCTCTCGCTAACTTTATATTGTCCACAGGCTACTTCCCTAAGAGATGGAAAACCGGCGTGTGCATCTTCCTGCACAAAGCTGGCAAAGATCATCGCCAGGCCCTATCGTACCGCCCGATTACACTGCTCAACATAATGGGCAAACTGTGCGAGCGACTGATCCTGAGACGACTCACCGCCACGGTGGACCGGCTGCAACCACCGTTCCAACACGGCTTCACAAGGGCCAGAGGCACAGCGACCCAGATCCTTCGCACCGGTAAAATAATCACAGATGCCTTGGCCAACGGCGACAGCGTCTCCATGATATCAACAGATCTCTCGAAAGCCTTTGACTCGATTAACCACAAAGGCTTGATCAAAAAGCTACAAGACAAAGACGTACCCACTAACATCACAAAAATTATAGAAAACTACCTTGCAGGCAGACAACTGAAAGGCAGGTTTAGAACAACTGAAACAGAGGAGAAACCTATACTCCATGGCGTGCCTCAAGGATCGATCCTGGGACCGGTGATTTTCAACCTGTATGTCCATGACATCTGGGACATACATGACAGAATTAAGGGGCTCAAACTCTCACAGTACGCAGATGACCTCTGCATTCTCAACAGAGCCACAAACCCAGACCATGCAACCATGCGATCGGAATGGACAGCAGAAACTATTATTAACTAGTATACGAGATGGGGGCTCAAATGCAACATAGAGAAAACCGATTGCATTATGTTCTCAAAGAAAAGTAAATACCGCCCAGCGGTAAAATTAAAACAACAGATGCTACCATACCAAAACCAGATCAAATACCTCGGCGTGGTCTTCGATAAACGCATGAGAATGAATCAACACACCGAAAAGGTAGTGAAGAAACTGAAAAGGGTCAGAGGAGCCCTTGGCCCGATAATTGGATACTACGCAAAAACAGATCTAGAAACCAAACTGGCCATAATACAGGCCTGCATTCTGCCACTGCTGGACTACGGAGTGGTCCAACTGCTATCGAGGTACAGCGCGACGAACCTGAGTAAAATCGAAAGACAATACAGAATGGCACTCAAGAGTGCTGCCCAACTACCGAAAAGAATATCCACGGAGATACTATGGGAGATGGCTGACATAGAAGCCTGGCACCTACGTGCCGAGGACATAAATCAGAAGATGTTGGACAACATTGCCCAACTGGGAATAGAAGACCTAGAATCCCCCGGTGACGCCTACCTGGCGCACGGAGAATTCAATCCCCTCAGGACCAACCATAGAATAGGTGAAATTGTATATGATCCCAAAAAGAAAAATTACAAGCGATGGCCCACCGATAACACGGGAGCCCCGCGCCCTCTTAGGATAAGGTAATTAAGGCTAGCAAATAAGTACACAAAAACAAATGAAATACATAATAATTTTATTGTATAAACTTTATTATGAATAAGCAAAACACAGCAAACACAGATCCACCTAGGACATAAGTTAGCTGACTCACCCTCACACGGTTCACCGGTCGTGAGGATGCAAATGTAAATACACAAGTAGGCAAATAAATATTTTCTGATTCTGATTCTGATTCTGTAGATTTTCCAGAAACTTAGTTCTTCGGGTGGCGCTGTCGGTCGAAAGATTTGTGATGTCATTTTCTGCAACGCTCCCGTCGCTCTCGTTCCTGACACTAGATGGCGCTAGTGTGCCGATTTTAGCGCGTAACAATATGTATAATACATGCATATGTTGTCGAGATTCAAACATTACTCGTGTGAAGCCGGGGCGGATCACTAGTATGATATATAAAAATCAATTGCTGTCAGTTTCGCAAAAACTTGAAAATAGCTGGATCGATTTTGACGAATTATTTTGTGTGTTTTTGAGTGGGCCCCTGGATGGTCTAGTTTCACAATTGATCTCGCTAGATGACCTGATGTCAAGATCGACAAATCCCTTGTGCGAAGCCGTGGCGGACCGCTATAGTCCGCGCGCAACTAGTTGGCCGTGCCTTGAGTAGTTAGCAGCGGGACGGTAAAGCGGGGTTCTTGCTGTTATTACTCAATACGCAGTCGATCTTCGTGACGGTAACACTCGATAATGATTCCAGCTAGTCTACATAAAACGCACATGAGTTTGAAATAGCAAGATGAGTCCATCGATGAATCACCAAATTAAAGTAGTGATTTTTAAAGGGCATTTTTTTAAACTTTAAGCAAATGCTGATAGTTATGAACACAAAATTGATGCAAAAATACATTTACATCTTCGCGCAGACCATAAGAAATAAAAAATAAAATATAGGTTGATGATTTTGACTTAGTAGTGATTCGAACCACTCTGTGCTGGATGCGGTCAAATGGAAGGAGCTGAAACTGGGGTGCCCCGACCCAGAGATGAAAACAGTATTCCATGTGAGGCCGAATTTGCGCTCTGTAAAGATGCAGGCGGTGTGCCGGCATGAAATACTGTCTCGCTCTGCTGAACACGTCAAGCTTTTTAGAGGCCAATTTGGCCTACTCCTCCAAGTGACCTCGAAACTGCACGCTATTCGAAATGTCGACTCCGAGGATTCCGATGCTAGCTGAGGCAGCAAGGGGAGTCCCTTCAAACTGAGGCTGAGGAGAAACGACGAAGGGGTTCTTTTTAGTCGTATACGCACTAACTTGTGTCTTCTGGAGATTGAACTGGACTAGATTTAGTAGCCCCCAATCCGCGACTTTGTTTAGCAAAGACTCTATTTCAGATACAAGTTTGTCCCAGTACTCGGCGACGTTTTCCCGAGAGATATTGGCACGGCCGGTGTATAAGGCATCACCAGTGCCGTCGTGTCGTCTGCATAGCAATGAATGTTACCGGTTTGCAACATACCATTGATATGCAGAAGAAACAGCGTTGGTGATAGCACGCAGCCTTGTGGAACACCAGTGTTAATAGACTTGTAATCAGTGCATGCACCGTCTACTACGAACGTGATGCTCCGATCAGCAAGGAACCTAATGATCCAATTGCACAATTTCTCGAAAAGCCCATAGGACGAAGCTTCGAAATGATCTTGGTAAATATCTTCACGCTGGTTTTCTGTGAGTTCATGATACCACCCCGGTTCGAGCCGGCCCACCAGTGCAACAGCAAAAGAGCCATCATTTTTAGAATAAGGATGACAAACGAGCACGCAGTCCACCTGATGGTAAGTGGATGCTGTGGTCCATAGACATCTACATTTATCGATTAAGAATTAAAACACAGATGTGTCGTCACCCCTGAGGACTAAGATGGAATGCCTAGTTTCCAGTAGAAAAGTATCAACGGATCCCTACACTCACCACACGAAAGACAGCACAGCTTAATACTGAGCTGCTATTTTACGCTAGTGTTCTGTGAGAGTCCTTCCCCGGTCGAGCCGACCCATTCGTGCTACTATAAAAGGGTGTAATACCCTATTGATGACCATGTGCAAAAAAATTTACAATGATAGTGTGATATGATGAAACCATTATAAATTAAAAAGATGATTCAGCCTCAGATCCATGATCCAGAATAATCTCATGTGCGTCTCGTTCATTAAGCAACCTCCGCCTCACTCCCGTCGCCACCTAAGGCGTGGCCAACGAGTTCCAATATAATATATAAACTATAAATAAAATAATATTTAAGCTCATGAATACAACAATGTTATAAATCTTAGAAATGTAGATAGTTTAAACTCATTTACCGTCAGACACGTGGCAAATCTGTACATGAAAATGTAGGATTTTTTAAATAACATTAAAGTGACAAACGACCTTCGAGGCCTTTGAATGACGTGTCAGTCACTTTATACGGAGTATTGCATTTAAAACTTGACCGCCGGCAGTTATACGGCGACTCAATAAGGATGACAAACGAGCACACATTCCACCTGATGGTAAGTAAATGCTGTGTCCCATAGACATCTACATTTATCCTCGATTAAGAATCAAAATGCAGATGCAGACCCTGAGGACTGAGATGGAATGCCCCGTTTCCAGTAAAAAAGGGTCTCCGGATCTCTACGCTCATCGTACGAAACAGCAGCATTAAGCTGCTATTATACACTGGTATTATGTGAGCGTGGTCCTTCCCCGGTCGAACCGACCCATTCGTACTACAACCATAACATAGCTGCAGCGCGGCTCTACCACGTATGAACACCACGCATGTGGTAAATCGGCACTTCAAATTGCAATTAACAATTCAATTGGTGCTGGCGGAGTTCGAATCCGGGTCACTCGCGCTTAGCGCTCGCTGTAAATTTCACAGTACGCGAGTAACCCGGGTTCGATCCCCGTTTCTTGTTGTTGCGCTAAAATATTTTTATAGAAATATATTTAAAAAATAATAACACTACACGTATTTAAAACCGTACTTACTTCAGCGTGAAAACTATCAAGAGCGCTCTCTTTTATCACGCTCAACACGCTCCGCTGTACGGCTACGTAAACTACTTCCTCCGGTGGCATGTGTGTTGTGCTCGTTCCAGAGCTATCGATTATGTATTCGAACTGAGTTAATATTTGTTTCACCTGTGAAGAATTTAGACCAATAATATAATATCTCATCCAATTTAGACATCTCTATATACAAAAACTAATCGCTGTCCGTTGGTCTCGCTAAAACTCAAAATCGGTCGAGCCATTTTTGACGTATATTTGTGTGGATTAAAAACTCAGTTGGACTTGGTAGGTGGCGCTGTTGTCAAGATCCAGAAATCAGCCGCACAAAGCCGGGGCCGATCGTAATATCTCTGTCTCCAACCCTGGATATGTCAAAAGCCGGTAATGATGATATAAAACAATAAAAGTATCAAATATAATGTTTCCGTCAACGATGGAAAAATATTTTAGTATTTCGTTGGCCCCGAAAAAACGTTTGGCAAATTTGCGTCGCATTCCGTCGCCGGTCTACTTAATTTACATCCCTCAAAAATGAAGTTCTTCTGGGTATTTCCATGAGTCCGCAACCATTCGGTGCTTAAACTAATTTTTAATTACACATACTAGTTGACGATATATTATCATTTATTACCCGTTTTCAATATTTAATGCAATTTTGTATTTTACTATTATACAACTCGTTGGAAATATATATTATAAGAAGTTCTCAAAACTTCCAATTATATTTTGTATCACAACATTTGACAGGTCTACAAGTACATACTTCAGATGAGTTGTAAATAAAAATTATAAAATATAAATAAGTATCAAAGTACAAACATTTTAAAATAAATTAGATAACAATTGACTACTAGATACAATATTAAAATAAATAGATATAGTACTGTAAAGATGATCGTACTATGTTAAAAAGGCTAATATTTAATGATTTCTTATATTTACGCGAACACTATACATTGATTAAAACTACTTTTACGGATTTTATCACGTTTTATTTATATTAATTTTAATACCCGACGTTTCGGGTGCTTTCCAGCACCCATGGTCACGGGGGAATCGTATCGGAATCGAAAACCTTGGTAGGAATCGATGTTCGGAACGTTGATGCTTCCGGGAAGTCTGCAGTTTGCGATCATATTCTAGATGGCCCCAACCATTACATCAGATTTGATAGACCACAAATCCTCGCGAAAGAACATCGATTCCTACCAAGGATGATACGTGAGGCTATTGAAATTAAAAAACATCCTAATTTCAATAGAGAAGAAGGCTGGGTACTACCACCTGCTTGGGACCCTATAATTAATAAAATTAAAACTACACTCAAGCATACCACTTCAAGACTTCCAAACACGGTTAGTTCATTCTGCGTAGATCGGACCAAAGACAATAATTAAAAAGCTGAAGGTACTCCGGGTTAACTTTGACATCGGGACGTCAGTCACCTCAGTCCCCCGTGACCATGGGTGCTGGAAAGCACCCGAAACGTCGTGTATTAAAATTAATATAAATAAAACGCGATAAAATCCGTAAAAGTAGTTTTAATCAAGGCTAATATTTATCGTATAGTGTAAGATTAGAGTGAATAAATATACAAACCATTGTAATGTTGTACAATTTCAGTAAGACGTCAGACTTATGGTTCGAAAACCAGTCTATACACTTTTTAATTGCTTGATGTAGTATTGGCAGTGACATCTTGGCTAATTCGCTTTCGAATTCAGCTTTACGTATCCAAGCCTCTAAGAACTCTTCAGCGCAGCTGTGCTCATCGCTGTGAAAAAATATTTCATTTGTAAATGAAAATCGTACGAAATAATACTTTGAATAGGGTAGGATGGTTTTGTACTATTCCATAATAATCATACAACAGTTTGACCGGTCCTCCAGACCGAATTTTGGTCACGGCGGCCAGCCTCAACGGAGACTAGCCATCGGTGCAGGACAGGATTATAGTGCCCAAGTGTATGCGCAAGCACAGGTGCACTCTCTATTCCCTCACTCTCATAATCCGATGGGACGATAAACCGACACGACCGGAGAGAGATCAGGCGCAGGACCAACGGCTTTACGTGCTTTCCGAGGCACGGGGGTGAGACACCGCCAACTTCCTGACTCCGTGCAGCTACTGAGAATTTCTTGACGGAAAACTCAATAACTGATTTTTTGGCCCGACCCGGGATTTGAACCCAGGACCTCATGATCAGCAGTCGCACTAATACAACCACTAGACCAACGAGGCAGTCTGATACCACAGTTTATAGAGAGACTAACAGTTAGGAAACGAATGTAACGAATATAGGCCTTGTGAGGCGGCGCGACCACCACGCGCCAGCGCACTCCGCGTGTCTGCTGTACAATACATGCGGTTGACGTGAGCGTTTTTATAATACTTCTCTTCACTAATCAGTGGCGGATTTACCAGCAAGATTAGTAGGCTGGAGCCTAGAGTGGCAGATTTTTGGGGCGGAAAATTTCAGACAATTTTTTTTCATATCTTACACAAATTAAAGAGATTTAATTTTTAAAAGGAAACTTTTCTGCAATTATCTCGAAACTCAAAACACTTTTTCGTTCCTTGCTCTGCCCACTCTTTAGACAACTGCGGCTGCTAAATGTTGTACAGAAACTTGTCGCTTCTTCAAGTTGCTTCAAGAAATCTACTTTTTTTATAAGTTCAACACAACGCTGGCAAAAAATTAAAAAATTGTAATATATGATTGTGAACTAGGGGTCTCTATACGTCAGTGCCCAGATTATTTTTACTACCCAAAGATTTAGTTAACATTACACAAGAAATAGTCGAATTGTGGAAGTCGGTAGAGGCGGCAAAATTTTAATAGCCTACTGGTGGCAAATTTGTGAATCCGCCACTGGTATACGAGTTACTAGGTAAAGTTGAATTCAAATGACGGCCATGCTTATGTTTTCTTCATATTTTTTTTTGACAAAATTGTTTATCCGAATGGAGTACACTACATAATAGAATTAATTAATCGAAAACTAAAAACATGAATTAAAAAAGTGTCACGAAAATATTTGGCAGTGTAACACATGTAAATTAATATTTTTTGTAGTAATAATAAATGTTGTTCAATAATTGTTTCATAACCTTGAAATATGTACACAACGTTAATAAATGATAGTGACAACCCCTATCATATTTACGACAACGGCGTAAATAGTAAATACCTACGCGGGCGGGAGTGTCGGCTGACATCAAAGGCGTTTCCATACTGTCTTCAAATTGTGATGGTACCAATTACTACGAATACGTCGAGTCAAGAGACGCCTGTACTGGTAACGAGGCATTTTTAATCAGGAGTGACAAAACATCTGTATTTTAAGTCTTAAGCCATGAAAGATGTAGGCGTCCATGTACCACAGCGACCATTTAGCTTCAGGTAGATTAAAGGTTATTGTTGTTTGAATAAACAAAAATTGCAGAGAGAATTACGCGGCGCACGTTGATAGGATGTAGTGACTAAGATACAAAATATCTAATTTTTGCTTAGTGCTAATAAACTAATTTACAATATATGTAGATGTTTTATATACGAGCTTACTTGATTACTATTTATTACTTATCTGATATTTGACCAAACTCAGTTACACAAACTCCGTTATTGTTACTCAGAGTTAACAATTATAGCATTTTGGAGTTAAAAATTAGAAAATAATTAGAAGATAAAGAATTATACGATTTCGTTGCAGTTGCACAAATGCAATATTTGTTAACATCACCTCAGCAGTATGATTCCTAAGCGAGACACAGTAGCGGGCGAGGCGTGCTCCAGGCTGTGAGTTTCGAAGAGGAAGTTGACGTGAGCGCCGAAGTGCACGCGGCCGCCCGACGGCAGCGTCAGCAGCCGGTTGTCGTCCAGCACTGAGTTCAAGGCTTCCACCCACTCCGGCTCGATGTCCCCGTCGCAGACAACCCACGACCACACCTCTAAAATAAAAATAAAAAATATATAAAAAGTTACAGCCTATATACGTCCCACTATTGGGCACAGGCCTCATTTCTGAGAGGGTTTTAGGGCAAGGAAGTGTTCGCCGCGCTGCCCCAATGCGTGTTGGCGAACTTCACATGTTTTCGAAATATTTTTTTTTTCTTATTCCTCAGACATGCAGGTTTCCTCTCGATGTTTTCCTTCACTGGTATATGCACGTGGTAAATCAGCAATTCATCATTGGTGCCGGCGGGGATCGAACCCGGGTTACTCGCGTTCTGTTATATTTACAGCGAGCGTTAACCATCTGAGCTACCACGGCTCATTCTGAGCTTTTATTTTTTTATCATATATATCGTTATCATCCTTTTATTTCTTACATATGCCTGCATATCTTCCACCATCATATCGTTCCTCTCGATAATTACCTTCACCGCAGAGCGCGTGGTAAATCAGCACTTAAAATTGCAATTAACCATTTCATTGGTGCCGTCGTGAATCGAACCCGGGTTGATCGCGTACTAACGTCTGACCGCAAGCGCGGTACTGCGCCTTAAGTAGCTGCACGGTGAGACGGGAGCGGAGCCGTTCTGCTACGTTATTCCGTTGACGCTGCTCACGGCAGCGTCATGTTATTTGTACCGGGCTGTGCTTGTCATACGCACATGAGATAAAATATCCAGAGATGGGTTGTGTTCTATCTCGTGATATCAACAAAACGTTCATTTATTAAGTGGTTGAATATTTAAAAAAAAGGAAAGCAGACAAAGAAAGCTTTGAATATAAAAGTAACGCAAATATTGCTAAAATCGTGGCACATCCTGTATGTGTAAACAACTGTAAACCAAAATAACCCTGTAACTGCAAACTGTAAGAGATGTGATCATCATCATAATCATTACAGCCCCTCACAGGTCCACAGCTGAACATAGGCCTCCTCCAAGGTATGCCACAAAGCACGTTCCCCAGCCATCGCCTTCCTGCATGTCTTACCAGGTGATCACTGCATCTAGTGGAAGTCGCTCTACAATTCGCCTACCGGTACGAGACTGCCACTCGAGAACCTTTTATTCCCATCGCTTGTCGGTTCTTCGAGCTATATAGCGGGCCCATTGCTACGTTAGCTTACTAATCCGTATTACCTACATAAGAAATGTGATAAAACAAGGAAATTCATCAACTGAAATTTAATTCGCCAAAAAGACGAAAATCATAAAGAAAAAGCAATATTAAAAATAGACGTTTATAAATGTCACATTTTACATAAAAATGATGTGCACGACTTAGTCAAGGGTTTAAACACGTTATAACGAAACGAAATTACATCATAAAATTCATTTCATGTTTCTTTAAACTATATCGTCTAAATAAATATGTGACATTTATAAAAAAAACGATTTGATATTTTTATTCCAGACTTCTAATACAAATTATACATATTTAATAAAAGACTACGGAAGCATTTAGCAATCTACTTATGGGCTACATGGCTCTCACTCGAGGAATCTTCATACTAATAGACTATTAAATAAATCAATTACCAAATTAACGTCAAATTAGTACGTACCAGCGGGTTGATTGGAGACCTCAAGAGCGACGGTAGATATAACTCCGTCGCTCCACTGTCTCGTGTCGTGGTCGATGTGTCCCAGCAGACAGTCGCGGCTCATCGCTTTTGGGTATATCACATACTCCACCACGTTCCTTCCTTGCTGCGTGAGCGCCTATGGAATATTTAATAAAATGCGTTTTACTTTCACGGGCAATTGAATGCACTGTAACATTTCTTGGTCACCAGCCACAGCTGCTATTATTGACCGATACATGTACAATAGCGAATCGAGTCATCATCGTTTCACAATTTTGTACCAGTGGCACAGACTGTATTTCTTATTTATCATGTTATTTATGGTGCGTGCAAACGTCTATATTGCCAAGGTTCTTAATTTGGCTGAAAATTAAGCTGTGCATATTTACGTCGTAAATTCTTGATCAATTTAATTCGAGACAACTTTAAAAATATAAACTCTGCAGGATATAATATTATAATGCTACAAATGTAAGCGCGAACATCACTCGCTTTAACTACCTACCCGTATTCAACGTAGATGGCGATACACCAGAGCCACAGGATAAATGATAGCCAGAGCTACATTCAGGTACAGTGTCAGAAGCATGGAGATAATGAAATCACATGAAACACGAAATCCTACAATATATGTTTTTACATATATTCGAATATCTCGGTCATTAAAATTCAAATATAAAAACTTAAGAGCGTGTGTATGTTCGTCATCTATGTGTTCCTATACCATTAATTTAATTACGATGAAACTTTGATGTGTAGTTTAGGCACGGACGCGTAAATTTCTGACAAAAAAAAAGAAATTGAAATAATTATATATATATATATATATATATATATATATATATATATATATATATATATATATATAAGACTGTAAAAAAATTGTAACCACTTACAGTTTTAAGCAAACGCCTAATAGTAGATTTTCCGGAGCCGGGAGGGCCAACTATGGCAACACCCATCCTTTGTCGCATCTGCTCATATAGTTGCATACATTTCTGTACCTGTAGTATTTTAATTTGTTCTTATAACATTATTTAAAATAAAAGTTTTAAGAAAAATGTGACACTGATGTTATGATCAAACAAATATAAGATGAATATAATTTCAAAGAAGTAAATCATTTAAGTAATCCTAAAATGTAATTTTCAAATTAAGATACTTATATCTTTAACACTTGAACTGAAATGAATTAGCGTAAAGTTACTTGACCTGATCTCTGTTATAAAACAATCCGAGTTCCTGAACAGAGGATTCCAGAGCAGTGTAAATAGGATCGATTGTTGACTCCTCCTCCGGCACCCCGGTGAACACCAACGACAAAATGTTCTCAAACCTATAAAAGTGAAAACTAAATGTAATATCGATAATTATTGTATTGAAATTACTGCCTGTTTATGCTCCTTTGCGGTGCACAGGTCTTCTCGTATTTCTAAGCGTTTTAAAGCATGATCCGGACGGTCTTTAAATCATGTTTTGAATTTTTACTTTTAATTTTTCGGATGTACAGGTCTTCTCACAATGTTTTATCACTACAGTGCACGTTGTGAAATTGTATTTAACAATATCAATGGTGTCGGCGGATGTCAAAGCAGAGTTAGTATGTGAGTTACTACTTCGCATTGTATATAAAATATATTCATTTATTCATTATTTATTTATTTTGTATTATTCATTACAGCCCATCAAAAGTCTACCACTAAACAAAGGCCTCCTTCATAGATTGCCTCAGGAGGAACTTTGACACAGTTGTCATACTTATAGGCGGGTTGACAAATGCAGTTTCTTTATTATTTTCTGTTGTTTTCAGAAAGATGCTGCTGCCCATCTCCAGTTTTTATTTCCCTCTGTCGTCTATCACAACACTACAAAAATATATTAAATAGTACATGACTATATTATTTTTAAAATAATGTTGCTGTGCACATATAAAGCGCGTACCATTAGACTGGTGCAGATGTTTTAGTCCCAAGGTTCATAGTAGGACTGTAAAAGCTACCGTGGCATCAGCCTCCTTAGCTTTGCGGTAAAACTGCATGCTAAGGTGTTGATTGAAAGAGATATGATAGACACTGACGGAATAATTTGAAATGTGCAAGCTGGGTTTAGTGAAGGGAAGGGGTTTACGGATCGCGTCTTTTCTTTGTGCACAATTACGGAGAAGTTTTTGGCCAAAAACCAGAAAACTTTCTTCGTGCGTTCATGGATTTGAAAAGGGCTTATGACATAGTGGACAGGGATGTTTGATGGTTTGATGGATGGATGGTCGACACAAACAATAAAAAATCTTTATATGGACTCTGATGTCTGTGGCAGGATTATTGGGGCCTTACTCGCGCTGGTTTAACATCCATAAAGGTATCAACGTATTTATGAAAAGTTATTTGGAAACTCTTGAAAGTTAAAGAATGTGTGTTAAGAAATGGGTTAGGATTGAATGGATGACAGGATGAGAAATTGTGAGACAAAAGTGTGGTTTGCACGGTGATGTTGTGACCGGGACTAAGAAAATAATGCTTTGGTGGTTTGGTTATGTGAAAAGAATCAATGAGGAAAAAGTGACAAAGCAAATTTATGTTGCAGAAGTGAACGGCAGAGCCGGCAAATTGGCGATATATAGAAAATGGGCTAAATTAAGATAACACTTAACCGCCGAGCATGTATACGGCGTATGGATATAAAAGGGGCGAGGTAACAATCTCATCTCATTATTGTATTATATTTGGTGAGTTTGGAGGTGTAGTAAGTGCAAAAAACCTTTCGACATATTTGATGAGTGTGGTGTTGTAAGTGAGACAAAATTTGTGTCATGATTGGAGAGTGAATATTTTCTAAGTTTAAGAAACCATTGTTTGGCAAGTTTCGAGATATTAATAGATTGATTAAGCTGTACTGGTGTTCGCAACTCCATGTCTAACCGCGTAATTTGCATGGGGGCAGGAAATAAATATTGGTTGGGGGTATTTTAAATGCGACATGCAAGCGTGCTTGTAATGTGTAGTGTTTGTAATGAGTAGTGAGATGACAAACGTGTGCTCGTCGTGGCGGGTGAGCTTGGAGGTGTTGTTGAGGCGCAGCAGGCGGCGCAGCGCAGCACGCAGCTGCGGCTCGGCGCCGGCGCGCAGCACGCTGCAGCTGCCCACGGCTGCCTTCAGCGCGCGCAGCCCCCAGTCGTAATGCCGCTGCCCGCTCAACAGATTGCTGCAACACCGCCGCAATTACTACCTCTCGCCTTCTATTAAAATAACAACATACAGTCTCTCTGCTGGGATACAGGCCTCAATTGTGGTTATGACATGGGTTTTGGATCGGTAAAAGTTCCTCCGCGTTGCCCTAAAGCATGTTTACGGACTCACGTGTCCTCAAAATGTTTTGTAGTAGTATGTATGTATCCTTGCGAAATTTTCTTTCACCAGCAAACTCATGGTAAATTAACAAAATATTAAAAGATTTATATATAATACAACTAAGAGAGCTAAATTTTAAGCTTGTCTTATATTTTTAATCATTGCGTTACATTATGCTTCGTAACGTAACGCGGTGATTTATTTGTAAATACGTATAAATAGTAAACTTATAAATAAATCCTCTTTGGATCCGAACAGCAACACCATCAACCAGTTTTCGGCGCGATCTGTACTTTTATTTTTTATAGTTTCGTCGGTCGTCCTTTATCTCATGGTTCAACACGATATGTTTATAAATAGGCTTTTGCTAAGCTAAGTCAATGTATTTTACCATTTTCGGCTACATCACCACTTAGGTACCATCAGATGAGATAATATTCAAGCACTAGATTATAATAGTAAAAAATGTCGGTATCCCCGTTGTTACTGAGAATTTATCTAGGATATATCTTTATCACGAATCCTATCACGTATGTAGATAAATAAGAACATTGCCCCCTGCATAGCTTGCTTAGAGACCATAAAACGCACAGTGATATTATTAAAATGTAAAAAAAAACTTCTATTACCTAACTACTGAAATTAAAGCCTTAAAGTGTTAACAATATTCAATTTCATTAAAGATTTTTTTCAAGCGTTTAAAAAAATCAAATATGGCCTAACTTTATTAAGAATAAGATGCAAAAGATTCGCTGGTGAGTGGAAAGTATCGCTGCCGCAACTGCATGTTGCAGCGACTATTATTTGTTTCTAAAAATAAAGAAAGAACTGCCTGGGGAAAAATTTGGCGACGATGATGTGAAGTCAGCAATTTCGACCTATTTTGACGCCCAAGACAAATCTTTTTTTAGACCGTATTATAATAAGTTAGTATTAATAAGGTGGCTAATATTTCCAATATGGACCATCGATTTCAAAGCCCATATTTTTTTGTAGATAGTACTCACTAAAAGAAAGCGTTTTGCAAAGTTTTAGGTTGCGGAAACTTACGGTTCATGAGATATATTTTTTTTAAACTTTTCATACAAATTGGCAAATAACACGCAATTACAAAATAAATTTGACAAATGATTGATGTCAAACGTCAATTAGTGTAGGGTTCCGAATATTTTGAAAGTATCGATACTACTTGGTATCGAGTACATTTCGTTAATTTTGGAGACGAAAAATTAGATGCATAGGAAGAGCTGATAAGTGCAATTATATATGTATATAAAGTAGAATAAAGTTTATTTAAGTTCCACCTTAGTACTTGTATTTCATTGTTTGCAACTTGTTTGTATTTCTTAATTAGTACAGCTTTTGTACTTGTATTTTATTGTTTGCAACTTGCTGTATTATCTAATTCTTACTACAATAAAGTGTTTACTTACTTATTTAATATCCAAAAAGTACCCAAAACCGAATTAGAGCACCCCACTATCCACGTGGTCTTGTCTGCCCTACCCCTAGAGTGTATATAAGAGCCCGGAGGCGCGGAGGGAGAGCAGTACCCGCCCGCCGAAGGGAAGTGCAGGCACCGAGAGAAAAGCCGAAGCTGCGAAGGCGAGCTCAGGTGCCTGTGCTTTCCTACGCTAGGGCGGAGGGACTGCTCATCCCGCAGCGCCGGAGCTGCCACGGAGCGCCGGAACACGACTTCCCCTTCAACCACCCCCGCCATCTCACCTCCCCGCTACTAACCCACCACACCACTTCCCTGCTACTAACCACACACCCCCTCTCCTCCCATAAGCCCCTCCCTTTTCTTTATTTAATCTAGTTAATTTTAACCCTCCCACATATCCGCCCTCCATTTCACCAGACATATGGTAACGAGAATAATAATAAATAATATAATAAATTTTAACCATGAATATCACCAAAACCATGGGGTTCCGCAGGGTGGGGATTGCACAGGGGGTATCCATCGCCCCTCCCCCCTCCCGCCCCTAAAACCTCATATATCGATGATCCATATTTGAAAGTTAGTCTCCAAAATTAACGAAATGTACTCGATACCAAGTAGTATTGATACTTTTGATACGATACTTGGTATCGAGTACGTATCGATACTTTCAAAATATTCGGAACCCTACACTAATTGACGTTTGACATCAATCATTTGTCAAATTTATTACGTAATTGCGTGTTATTTGCCAATTTGTATGAAAAGTTTAAAAAAATTATCTCATGAACCGTAAGTTTCCGCAACCTAAAACTTTGCAAAACGCTTTCTTTTAGTGAGTACTATCTACAAAAAAAATATGTGCTTTGAAATCGATGGTCCATATTGGAAATATTAACCAATAAGGTAGTAAGTAGTAAAAAAAATGTATTTGTTATGTCAATATATACGGTACTTACAACAAAATAACAATATTTAAAAAATTTGTATGATTATCTGTCTGTGTTTGTCCGGCTAATCTTCGTAATGGCTGAATTGATCTCGATGGAACTTTCATAGGCAGATAGCTGATATTATGAGGAGTAATTTGGGCTACTTTTATTTTGGAAAAATAATTAAAACCCATGACATCGTATCGTAATAAATTCGTAGACGAAGTCGCGGGGAACAGCTAGTTAAACAACATAAACTCGCCTTGCGAGAGCGAAGACGGCGTGCAGGTCCTCTGCAAGGAGCTGCGGCGCGGGCAGGCAGCGCGCGGCGAGCAGACGGCGCGCCAGCAGCGCGGCGGGCGGCACGCGCGCGCACACGGCCAGCGTCAGCCGCCGCAGCGCCGCCGGGAGCGCACGCCTCCCGCCGTAGCCGCGCGCCACCGGGTTCAGCGTGCCTGCCACGCCGCACCACAAGGACACCGCCACCTGCACGCGACCACGTCGTACCCCGTACAAAACACAAACACCCACACGTTCATAAACCACATTTTGTACACTATAAAATATGGTAGAGCCAACGTTGTAGCAATATTGTGGTTGTATTACTAATTCAAATTAATAATATATATATATATATATGTCGGAGCGGAAACCTTGGGGTTGTTTTTTGGTGAGGCAGCACCACTGTCCCCATTTGACAATGGTTCAGTCGTGCTACCGTATATTGTGTCCATTATAATGAGAGATCTAAGATCACACACTTTTAATTTTATACCACCATAACTTTATTCTACACTTCTTTTTATAAAAACTCACAAATATTAATCAAAAAGAAAAAGGTAGGATCACACACTTTTAATTTTATGCCACAATAACTTTATTCTACACTTCTTTTTATAAAAACTCACAAATAATAATCACAAAGCTTTACCAGGAAATAGAACTACACCGACGAGTGCAGGAACTCAAGTGAGTCTATTCACGCGTTCAATACAATAAGGATAACGTAATAACGACTTAGGTGTGCTCTGATTGGTCGGCGATTTGATTGGTCAACACTTCACGAAACAATAACTCTTTATTGAATTCATTAGGTTACTTAAGTAATTTCAATTACCAGGATTAATAATCAAATCGACAATTATTTATTCTACTATTTAAAACAATATTTGAGTTAAAAGTTGATAATCGAAAAATAGTTGTTTTAATAGGAATTAGTTGTCAATAAAGAGATTTGTAAACCAAAAGAGTTTTAAAGAACTAGCTAGTTACATGCTATGTTTCTGATAAATTGCTGTTATTAAATTGTAATATTAATAATTATACACTGTTGATTATTATAATTTATAACAATTAAAAGACAATGCAAAGTTTAGGCTTCGTCAACAGAAGATGTCCTGTCCTTGCGGCGACATATATATATATATATGTAAATATATATAGGGTGTTAGTGTAAACACCGTTATCCTTGAAACCAGTTGTTTGGTTTCACTTATAGAACGTAAATTCAATGAAAAATGACAACTTTTTTTTAGTAAAATCTAAATTTTTTTTTGATGAAAGTATGAAGGATAAGTTACATCACAGGTTATGTTTACCTATTGTGTTTTTATCGAGTGTTGTGTAGGTAGCTAGCGCGGGCGGTAATCTTTACAGTGATTACGTCACTCGGGCGCATAGGGTATCCATGAATTTAAGGACGGTGTCGGACAGAACTTTTTAAATTTTATGAAAGAAAATAGCGTTTTTTGAATTCATTGAAATTACGTTCTGTAAGTGAAACCATACCACTGGTTTCAAGGATAACGGTGTTTACACTAACACCCCATATATATATATATATATATATATATATATATATATATATATATATATATATATATATATATATATATATGTGTGTATGTATATCGCTCCGTGGTTGATGCAAGAAACGACAGAAGGAAACAAACCAGAAGCTGGGCAGAAACGTCTTCCTACTAAAAACTAGATTATAGCCTGCCAAGCGTGGCAACTGTGGCAAATATACCCAGCCCCATTTATAAGGCAATCTGTGGAAAGACCTAGATTCAGCAGTGGACTGTGATAAGAATAATCCGGGCAGGATCGACATGTAATGTAAGAGGTAATAACAATCACGTGTATATCTTCTTCTATGATTTTATTTATGTCTGCAATTAACATTAATATATATTATGTCGTATGTGCATATTATGACGTTACTACTATACGGGAGCAAAGTAAAATTTTATTCGTCAAAATATTTTAAAAAAAAGATCTTTAATCTCAAAAGAGTTCCACTTCACAAAAAGTGAGATAGGTATATTATCTGTATATAACATACCATTTAAACAATTCAGATGAGAGGGATGCATTTCGGAAGCTACTTTGAAGACTAGCTTTATAAATTAACTAAACATATAATTTATGTGTAACTATCTCGTTGATTTGATGGCCATAAGGAAATTGACCTTGTAATCCTAGGTTCGAATCCCGAGTCAGGACAGAATGAAATAGAAAGGAATATAATAGAATATTTTTTATTATAGATTACAAGAACACTTATTAAAAGTAATTTATGCATTACCACTGGTTCGGTAAAAAACCTCTGCCCTGGAAAAAACCAGCAAGAAACCCAGCGGGACTTCAAGAAAATTATACAATTAGTATGGAAACATTTAGAAACGGTACTAGCGTACAGTTTTACCTATAATAACCCTAACAATTTTTTCTTAACAAAAATTTTATACTTATATGTGCATATTTTCCGGGACTTTATTATGAGAGCGTGTACATAATTGCCCCATGAAGGAATTACTGATTCTTTGGACTCTAGTAAATGGAATACTATACTAACTAACTTGTGTTTATACCCAGTAGGTATTTACAGATCGTACGTCACTGTCTACCTACATTAAATTTTTGTAAATATACTGAGTTAAAATACACAACAAAGTTAAAATATTAATTTTTTTAAATTTTGTCTAAGGCAATTCCTTCGGACCTTAGTTAATAGCTCTTATGGATATGGCTCAGTCTCACTCAAAATGAGTAATTTTTTGCATTGAGTTATAAACTTATAAATCAACGTTTTATGTTTAAAATTCTCAGTAGCGGCCCGAAGCCAGGTAGCAGACTGTATTGTACCCCCGTGCCTCGATCGTTAGTTGTGTAGGCCTCAGCCCTCAACTATTGTGATTTCCTTTTTGTCAGTAAATATAGTTTTTTATAACTTGACTAAAGCCATCTGTTGTATGCTGGCATGGCATAGCTATGAAATATCGTTTCGACAAAAAATTATATTATGTGAATATGACCTTAATCGGTCGAATCGGTTATCAATAAAAAAATTAATACTGTTAAGACATACGAGGGCGGGTCAATAAGTTCGCGGAATGGAAGGGTTGGGGAAGGAAGGAAGAATTTTTTTAACCGTCACTACTTGGTAACTTAATACAACAATAAATACCTAGTTTCAGCTAGATCGGTTGATTAACCTTTGAAATATCACAGGATAAACAAGTTAATCGAGAAGTAGACACTAACTATGAAGAAAATTAAGTTTCGTGCCGTGATTAAGTTCCTCACTTAGCATGGAAAAACCCCACATATCATTATGGAAAAGATGTCACTCTTGCCCCGGAAAAACGATGATTTATAATTGACATTGCCTTTTCAAGTAAGGCAGAAATTCAATTAAAGACGATCGGGGCTGAGGCCGACCGATTGAGGCAACTTCCTCTGACATTGTCGAAAAAGTGAAAAACTTTTTCTTGAAGATGTTCGTCTGAAGAAACAAAAACAGATTGCAGAAATTACTGTAGTAACATTTAAGATCACTTTAAACATACTCCATGACCATGTTCGCATCTAAGGTCACTGCAAGATGGGTGCCAAGAATGCTCACACCTCTTCAAAAACAGCTTCGGTCGAGTGTTCGCGCGAGTTTTTAAGAACATGGACGAAATTATAAACCGAATTTTGACTGAAGATAAAATTTGGATTCATAACTGTGAAAGTGATTCAGAACACAAACCCATGCAGTGGCATAAACGGGCGCAGCTCCGCCTAAGATGTTCAGGGTGTCACAATCGGCTGGATAGACTATGGCTTCAGTTTTTTGAGATTCATAGGAGATTTTATTGATTGATAATAATGACGAAGGTGTCAATATCAAGGAACAGTATTACGCTACGCTATTTGAGAAATTAAAAGTTGCTACTAAAAAAAATAATGAGAAAGGGGTTTCGAGATGTGCTCCTTTTGCACGACAAAGCACTCATTCACAAGAGTCATGTTGTGATCGCTTCCTTACACAAATGGGGCTTCAAAATTTTAAACCATCTTTCCTATAGTCTAGATCAGGCCATTTCGAATTATTATTTGTTCCCAAATATGAAAAATAAGCTTCGGGAAAGAAAAGAAGTCGGCAATTTGCGCCTATTTTGAGGGCCATGACTAAAAAAAACTTTTGAATGTATAAGTTGTTTGTACAATTTGAGAATTATATTAGAGTTAATAGAGAATATATCAAAAGGGAAAAATAATATCATGTTTAATATCACTCCCTCTCCCTTTCATTGCACGAACTTTTTGACCTCCCCTCGTACCTAGTATTCATCATCAAACAATTAGTTTTTAAAGTCTGCGATTGGAATATAAATTTACAATGTAAGCTATAACATCAATAGCATCTTTGGCTTGTAAATATGGATCAATAATTACAAACATTTGATCTCGAAAGCAACTTTTACTTGGTCAACCGAATAATTGTAGGAGTCCTATTTTCTTTTTAACTTTATACACATATTATCTAATAAGTTATAAACATTGAGAACGACATTGCTATAAATTAATAAAGTCATGTTAAACAACGTAACATATAACTACTACATAATTTCCGGTAAATTAGAAGATAAGTCTGTACTTACTTTCATATTTGGCTAGTAAGTATAAAGAGATGTACGCGCCTCAGCTAATATTTAAATATTGTTCTTTATTGATCATAGAACCAACAGCACGTTATAAATATTAACAGAACTTCTCAGATAATCCATAACGCAAATAACAGATTGTTACTTTATATAAATGTACATACAATCGCTTGTTATAGTTTACAATTAATAATACTCCCTCCTTGTCCGAGATCTTATTACAATGTAGTCTACGCTTTTCGTCGTCGTAGCCATCACAAGATTCCAAGCTCCAACCACAAAAAAAAGAAATGTGTTGTTTATGGATATAGTCTCTGTCAACATACAAGACAACTTCATTACGTACTTTTGTGCGTCAAAGCCATCATTGTATTTATAAGATTTTTTCAAATAAATTATTATTTGATAGATATTGCAATGAAATCAAACAGTAATTTGTCTATAGTGCAAGGCAGTGTATGTGTTCGACATGTTTATGCCAAAATAACAAGATTTGGCAGGATAAAAAAGATCCGGGAGAAGCATGGCAGCGGAACCGTAACAAACATCAGTGTTAAAATAAGTTAACTTATAATCAGGTAAAGACCAGAGAAAAGCAGGTGAGTGGAAACATAACGTATCGTAAGGAAGGCAAGTTTAAAAAATAACATAAAATTGTAAATAGTAAATAACGGTGTACCATAGACTAATCAGTAGAGTTTATAAAGTAAAGGCGTATCATAAACAAATCAGTAGAGTTTAGGTTATAGGTATAAAATATACATTTCCGCCGGATACACCATTTATTAAATTATATTAAGTAAAAAGTTACTCAATATAACAAAAACTCATAAATTTAAAATAACAGTTACCGTTACAACGTTAGTTGCTTCCGTAAAATCAAAGTGAACTGCAAGCCCTTTTTTTATTATCCTAATTCTAAATATTTGCACTCGTGCTCAGTTTTTAAAATGGGGAAGAGGAAAAGTTCCGATAATCCCGAAAAAATTAAAAAAGAAGATTAGGAAGCTAGAAAAGAAATTGCGGAAAAAAAGAAAATCTTGAAGTCTCTAAAGAGACTACTCCTCCATTGGTGGATTTATCGCCTAGAGTAGCAATGCAGAACCATTGGAGGAAAATGCAATCGAAGAAATGCAAATAGATGATCAAACAACCACTTCAGGTGAGTTCTTCTTATGAGATATTAATAATATGGTCTAAAAATACTGATAGTAAATGCCAACTAGGTATCTGTTCTGATGACTAAGTGCTATTATTCATGCATCAGGGAGGATAGCTATGTCAAATTTATCTCTTAAGCTATCACCTTGAGGATAGACAGAGAAATAAATCTTTTTGAGATACCACTTTGAGGATAGACAAATATTTTTTACAGCGCTACCACATAGAAGATAAACATGATTCATTGTACTTCTTCTATATGGGACATAAAATACAAAATTTAAGAACAGAACATAAGGCCTAAAAATACTACTGGGATAAAGAAAATAGCAGGTGTCTGTTCAGATGACTAATACTATCACAGTGGGGATGAACATGTCATACCCCTTCCCTTAGAGCTACCACTTTGAGGGTAGACAGGGAAATAATTAAACCCTTTAGAGCTATCACATTGAGGATAGACAAGGGTTTTGTAGCGCTATTATTCAGAACACAAATCATTAGGCTATTTGGTATATATATATATATATATATATATATATATATATATATATATATATATATATATATATATATATACATATATACATTTCAGACAATGAGGACATCCCGGAGGAGCTTTTATTAGCCTTAGGACCAGAAGGAGAAGAATCAAAAGAAGTGGGAGAGCCAATAAATATGCAGTTAGCGACGAGATGGACAAAAATTATGATGGAAGGATTGGGAAAAGAAGCTCGGGAAAAAATAATAAACAAGTTCTTAACTCCGTCTAACTTCAAAGCTGTTATAGCTCCTCAAATGAATCCAGAGATAAAGGCATCATTGTCAGAAATACTAATTAAGAGAGACAAACGGTTGGTAAATAGACAAAATATGACGGGAAAAATAATGACAGGAATTGGTTTAGTACTGACAAATATTATCAAAGGGAATATAAATACAAGAGAAATAGTGGAACAGTTAAGCGACACAGCAAAGATAGCTGCTGAAATCTTTTATGAAGACTCGGCTGCCAGGAAATATTTTGCCTTGTCTGGAGCAACTCTTGTACTAAGAGAAGCAACGAAGAATGCAAAGACCGATGAGTTCTTGTTTGGAAAGGACTGTCCTGAGAACATCAGAACAGCTCAGACTATCCACAAAACAGGAGCTCAAATAAAAGCGGTGGAAAAGAAAAAGACAGCCCCAAAAAAAGGGAAACTGGAAGAGCCCACTGCAAGTACATCCTACGCGCAGTGGGCAGAATTACCGAGCACAACGCTACAAACCGAGATATCATCCCAGTCAGCCACTACGAAGGAAAACTCAAAACATGGGAGCCCCACCAGCTCAGACAAAGAGGAACCACCGTCGTTAGAGGTAGGTACTGGAAAGTTAAAACAATGTCTGAGTAATTGGTTGGAAATTACAAATGACCCAGTATTAATAAACTGGAAAAAGGGTTATAAAATACCCTTCAGTCAAATACCAAACTTATATGAGGCTCCTACCCAATACTGGTCTGGAAGGGAAAGAAATATAATATACTCAGAAATTCTGAAATTATTAGAAAAAGGTGCAGTTTCAGAATGTTTGTTTTGTGAGGGGCAGTTTGTATCCCCAATATTTGTTATTCCAAAACAGAATGGAAATTATAGGTTTATATTAAATTAAAAAAAATTAAATGAATATATTGAGACTTCTCATTTTAAATTAGAGAATATTAGAACAGCTTGTGAATTAATTTCCAAAAATTGTTTTATGGCAAAAATTAACCTCAAAGATGCCTATTTCAGTATAGCCCTTTCTGATGAGTCAAAGAAATTCTTAAGATTCAGATTCGAGGATAAATTGTACCAATTTAACTGTTTACCCTTTGGCATTTGCTCTGCTCCTTTTGTTTTCACCAAACTAATGAAACCAATTTGTACCTATCTTAGAAGTAAAGATATTATTTTATCATGTTATTTAGATGACAGCATATACTTTAATTCTTCTCAGTTAAAATGTAGAGAAAATGTAATATTAGCATGTAAATTATTTGAAAGATTGGGATTTTCTGTAAATTTTTAAAAAAGCATTTTAACTCCAAAACAGACCTGTAAATATTTAGGCACTATTCTAGATTCAAGAGATCTATCCTTATCCGGTCCAAAAGAAAAACAATTGGATATATTAGAAAATATTAGGAATTTTGAAAGAAAGAGTCATTGTAAGATTAGAGAGTTTTCACAATTATTAGGTATGTTAACATCAATTTGCCCAGCTGTACCCTATGGTTGGCTTTATACAAAGTTATTAGAGAGGGAAAAGTTTTTAGCATTACAAAAATGTTATGACAATTATGATAAACAAATGTCAATTACAAATCTTATTCATCCAGAGTTAGAATGGTGGAAGTCAAATATTCATAAGCAAAATTATATTAATCAACAAAAATTTTGTGTTGAGATCCATACGGATGCCTCAACAACAGGCTGGGGTGCAGTGATGGGATCAGAAAGAACTTCGGGATCTTGGTCGACTAGCGAAATGAAATATCATATTAATTATTTGGAATTAAAAGCAGTATTTCTAGGCCTACAATGTTTTGCTAAAAACTATAGTAATTGTGAGATCTTGTTAAGAATTGATAATACAACAGCAATAGCATACAGAAACAAGATGGGGGGAGTACAGTACATTCATTTAAATAATATTACAAGACAGCTCTGGCAATGGTGTGAGGTAAGAAACATATGGGTTTATGCCTCATATATAAATACTAAAGACAATGTGGAGGCAGACTCAGAGTCAAGAAAAATAAACATAGAATGGGAATTATCCCAACAAGCCTATAATAGGATTGTTGAAAAATTTGGTTACCCTGAAAATGAATTATTTGCATCTAGAATTAATAAAAAATGCAAAAAGTTTGTGTCGTGGAAGAGAGATCCAGAAGCCATAGCAGTAGATGCATTTACCTTAAAATGGGAAACATATTTTTTTTTATGCTTTTCCACCATTTTCCCTAGTTCTTAAATGTTTTGATAAAATTAAAAAAAGATAAAGCAACAGGAATTGTAGTTTTCCCTTATTGGCCTTCACAACCTTGGTTTCCATTGTTAAAAGGCCTTTTAGTAAATGAATTGTTATTATTTAGTCCAAATAGTATGTTATTGTCTTCTCCTTACAGGAAATCTCATCCACTCCACCGGCAGCTTACCCTGGCAGCAGGGCTGCTGTCAGCGAAGCATACATAAGACGTGGAACCCCAACTTCTGCTCTTCAGATCATGTTGAATTCACTATCGGAAAATACCATGAAGCAATATGACTCCACCCTAAGATTGTGGTGGAAATATTGCAGGACCGTTGATATAGATCCATATCAGGCTTCAATTCCCTTCATTCTTAAATTTTTAAGTGAACGATTTGATGCTGGAGCATCATATGGTACATTAAATACAGCAAGATCTGCCTTATCTCTTTTAATTGGACCAAAAGTGGGGTGTGATGACAGGCTTAAGCGGTTTTTTAAGGGAGCGTTCAGGTTGAATCCCCCCAAGACCAAAATATAATGTTACATGGGATCCAGGCTTCGTTTTAGATTATTTGGCACTTCAGTACCCAAATGAGTCCGTTGAGATTGAATTATTAACCAAAAAAATTAGTTACTATCTTAGCTCTCACAACAGGTCATAGGGTACAAACCTTATCACTTATTAAGCTACGAAATATTAAAATTAATTCTTCTGGAGTACAGATTAAAATTCCTGATTTGATAAAAACATCAAACAAAAATAAACTGCAACCAACTACATCTTAAAAGTTATATAAGTAAATTAGAAATATGCCCAGTGAATACATTAACATCATATATTAGGAGAACAGAACCGTTCAGACACAATACTGAACAATTATTTTTAACATTTAAGAAACCACATCGAGCGGCCTCATCACAGACCTTAAGCCGATGGGTTAAATCCACTCTGAGTAAGGCAGGTATAGATATGTCCATTTTTACAGCACACAGCACTAGACATGCTGCAACCTCCGCCGCGAACAGGGCAGATTTAAATTTGGATCTCATAAGGAAGACTGCGGGTTGGTCAAATAATTCTGAAACTTTTGCCAGGTTTTACAATAGACCTTTATTGGATGATCCATTATTGTTTAGTAGTACGGTTTGTAACACATCAAGTGTTGGTTGATTAATTAATTAAGAATAGAACAAATTACTAATGTAAGCAAATTACTTAATTGTTTTAAATACACACGTTTTTAAAAATTGCACAATAGTTCTTTCATTCACAACCCAGTCTTCAAACATCTACATTGTAATAAGATCTCGGACAAGGAGGGAGTATAATTAGGTGATTAAACGAACTTACCTTAAGTGAAGTTCAATCACAATTATACGAAGCTCCTTGTCCGAGACTAGACTCCCACCCATCCCTTAAGACCCAAGCAAGGGTTGTTCATGAAAGGGCTTTAAACTAATGAAGTTGTCTTATATATTGACAGAGACTATATCCATAAACAACACATTTCTTTTTTTTTGTGGTTGGAGCTTGGAATCTTGTGATGGCTACGACGACGAAAAGCGTAGACTACATTGTAATAAGATCTCGGACAAGGAGCTTCGTATAATTGTGATTGAACTTCACTTAAGGTAAGTTCGTTTAATCACCTAATAATATTACAATTAACAAAATTACAAATTAATAATATTAATTATAAAGTACTTAAATATATTAAAGTTATTTCAAAAATAAGTTTCGCAAAAAAGAAAGAGACCACAAGCAGGGACAAAAAAAAAAGAATATTAGAGAACAACTGTCTGACCCAAAGATGTTTTTACCTATAAAACATCTTTGTGTCTGACCATATAATAATAAATAACATGAATGAAATTTACATCACATATAATGTACACATTTGCGTGAGTATGTGTGTGTGTGTGTGTGTGTGAGGGAGAGAGAGAGAGAGACAGCAAGAGAGAGAAGGAGAGTGCGTGAGTGTATGTGTGTGTTTGTTATTATTTCTTACTTAATGTTGAAATAATTTCTTTTTTAAAGACTGATTTGCTTTGGTGGAAGATGTCAGTTGAAGAAAATTCTTTATTATATATATTAAGTATGCGACATATTACAGAATTCTGTGCATAATTTGAGTTACTTAAAGGAACATTAAATAACGGAGTACCTATGTCTATTGCGCTTAGTAGGTGGTCGTAGTTGTAAAGTACAGGAAATTAATTCGGGGCTATCAATTTTGTTACTGCATATATTATGTAGAAATAGCATCTGAAGTGTAGTGTCGCGATCTTTCAACTGCATTACATGATTCTGTATAATTTTTTGTTTTATTTTGACATTGAAAAGACGTTAATAAATTTTTTCTGTATTCGTTCTATTTCTTGTATGTACGTTATATAATTTGGGTTCCACACAACACTACAATATTCCAGGACGCTACGGACATAAGAATAGTATAAAATCTTTATACATTCTATGTCTGAAAAAGGTTGACAAACTCGTAATACAAAGCCTAGATTTTTATAAGCCTTTGCAACTACAGCTGAGATGAGAGTCAACATCATTTGTGAATCAAAGACTACTCCGAGGTCTTTGGTTTTGTCAGTTTTTTCCAAAGAGATTTAAATATATATATATATATATATATATATATATATATATATACACTATAGAGCGGACATTGGTAACATTTACATACAAAAACTGTCACCACGCCGCATGTATTATACCATCGCTATAGCAATACTGCACTGAATATTTGTTTAGGAAACATTTTAGCTATTTCCCAGTAGGTGACGCTACTAAACATAAGGTAAAAATCCCTTGTAGGCACATCGTTAATCACTAACATGACGTTACTGGATAACAGAGGGCACTTATTACAATAATTTTTCTTTCTTAGATAGATAGATAGATACCACCTAGAACCATCTACTACAAATAATAAAATTTAAAAATTATTTGGTAAAAACACATTATTCTTATGATAATGAACCGAAATCACGTTCATTTTTTAAATTTATGAAACGAACGCGTTTTGACCTTTTGACGATGTCACTTAGACTAAATGACAAAAATCGGAGATATATCCTATAGGACAAAAGTTACGGACGACAATTTTGTTGCCGATGTCCGGTCTATTAGTACTACATATTTAAATGTCTTTGGTTTTTTCTAAAAGAAAGTTGTATAAATAGTATTGAGGTATAAATTTTCTCCTTTTTCGAGGAAAGGTTTCTTTTTTCCTTATTATATAATTGAATGTGAAAACCAGACAAGTATATTATTGACTCTTATGTAGAATAGTGGGTTCCCTCTATGCTTATATCCTTACTTTAAGGTTCTACCTGAATATACAAAGACAAATGAAGAATGCACAATAATCAATCAAATTATGGTTTAAAATTAATGTGCAATAGACTCAGAAACGAACAAAAATACAAGCCAAATATTACCCCTACTTTTGGGTACCGCGGCAGAGGTGAAAAATCCGAACTCACCTGTTTTCCATTAAGCAGGGCAATGCGCTGAGCGTCGGGGCGTTGCCGTATCGCAGCCAGCAGCGACGCGAGCTGATGCGAAACGGCTGCCAGCGTGGCGCTCGACAGCCGGTTGAACTCGTCGAAGCAGCCCCACGCGCCGGAAAGCGCCAGCCCCGATAGCAGCCGTCCCATGCATTCGGCGTCCATAGCCTACGTATTCAGTAATGTTGCATGTTGTAGCATTTCATCTCGTGGGTGTTGTAAGAGCCATTACAACAATCACACTTGGCTTGCAGTAGATGGCAAAACAAGCAACTCGCTTACGCACGACATAAATAACCAGACCAGCGACGGGGAGCAGCATCAAAGGTAGGACGGAGGAAATGAAGGACGTCAAGTACTGTGATCGTTGATCCGCCGGCCACGCGTGACTATAAATGTAAATTCTCCATACAACGGGAGATACGTATGTCCAGCAGTGCACTTTAATGAACTAATGAAGATGTTCGCGTTAGACAATTACGTTCATGGCGACAATTTTCAAATGATCCAGGCAATATAGTACACATAACTTCAGTCTACTGATAGGCCATAAATGTGAACTCATACGAAGTGATGTTCCCTTGTTCTCAACTGTGCTCGAAGTACCGCTTATACCATAAGGGACAAAGACATGGAGATAAAATGCGACATAATTGCACCCGAAAACCAACAATTAAGTTCTTAGAAACAATATTGGTTTCAGCTGTGATCCAAACCCAGTATAATTTTTTAGTTACCATATATCGGCAGCCCATTCGGTCGTTTCAAAAAAAAAACTGTTAAAAACGTACCGAACATTAGGATGCAGGTAGCGATTTGATTTTGTATCGAAATATCATCTAATAATAGTAAATTAACCAACATTTTGTTGACTTTTACTACGAATAAGTGACAAACTAGTAACTAAAATTTAATATAAGAAATCGTTTCAAAACGATGAAAATTCAGTTTCTAACACTTAGAGCTCCCGCAGACATTCAATTGTAAGTTGGCCAACTATCGAACGACTAAAATGCATACTTTATAATTTAATGGACAACAACTTTTTTTTATTGGTTGCTAGCCGCAGACTTAATCGATTTAATCGGTGGCAGTGTTGCCAGCGCGGTGCATGTGCGTGATAATGCGGGAAAAAACGCTCTAATTTTTTTAAAGGATAGGGTGACAAACGAGCACACAGTCCACCTGATGGTAAGTGGTTGCTGTGACCCATAGACAACTACATCTATCCTCGATAACGAATCAAAATGCAGATGCGTTGTCACCCGTGAGGACTAAGATAGAATGCCTCCTTTCCAGTAAAATGGGCCTCCGGATCTTTACACTCACCATAAGAAAAACAGCAGCATTTAGCTGCTATTTTACACTGCTATACAGTGACGGTCCTTCCCCGGTCGAGCCGACCCATTCGTGCTACAACCATAATATAGCTGCAGCGTGGCTCTACAACGTACAAAAAAAATTGCTTTAATAATAAAAAGAAGACGAAAATAAAAGAGAACATTTTGGGTGCATTCTAAAGTGACAGATTAGAATATGGGAAACATCATATCTTGCACTCTAAACTCGGATGTTACCCGGATAATTTTTTTTCATTCTACAGAATGAGAATTTCGTCTTTTGATGAGCTCGTATATCTAATCGGGCGAGCTATAGTCAAACGGGATACAACTTTGCGACTCGCTATCACCGTTGAAGAGAGGCTTGAATTAACTCTCCGTTAAGTATCTGCTAGGTTAATAAACATATATAACTCATTTCTTCTTTTTTTATTTTCTATACCTATAATCAAATTTGAGACAGTTTAGTGCAAAAGTCTGTTATACTTTTATGATTCATTTAGTTCTGATTCCGACTCTGAGAAGTTTGACCAGTATGAAATAATACAATCATGATCGTGTGGAGGGGGCGGTGTTTGACTTTCTGGAGATGGACTTGAAAGATGCAGATCTTGGCAATTGTGAAGTACTAGGTTGAATGATATCAAATGATGTATTTGGCAGTAACATAGATTTTGTTGTCATGCATTGGCAAAAAATCCAAAGATCATAAAGCGAGTTTACACCTGCCATAAAAGCTCACCACACTACGGGTTGACTGGCATAGAATGCCGAGAATCATTTAGTACGCCCATTGTTACCTTAGTTGTAAGGTATTACAATTAAGAATAAATTAAAAAAATAAAAAAATCGGGGGGCTGATGTGGAACCCGTCGGCGATGGTCTAAATCCGAGTGTAGGATAGGAAAATGACACGCACGCAACGGTTCGTCTTGCATCTTGCCGTGCGACTAATCAACAAAGTTGGATAGTCCGCGAGCTTGCATAAGGTAACCGTGCTAACGTGCAGTTGGCTGATTGGAAAGAATTGGTGTCCAATTAATTAGTTGGACGATTTAGTTGGACAAGATGTATGGGCTAGCATATGTCACTATACCTATTGATATGCTCTGCGATTTTGTCGGCCAACTTATAATTGTAAATCTGCGGCCTCTCTTAGATGTAGATACCCGCGCGCAGAATGTGTGTCGAAGCGTTTTACTGACACGACAGGCGGGGGACGCGGTAGACGGAAGTGGGAGGGTGTTCGTCGACAAACCTTCTGCGTGCGGTTTATACCGGAGGAGCACCTCTTACACCATTAAGTCAATATTCATATTAATAACGTCCTCTAGACCTAATTTCGGCGAAGGCGGTCATTCTCGACGAAAACTAGTTATCTGCAGCACAAATTATAGTGTCCAAGGCTCCAAGGGTATGCATAAACACAAACGCACTCTCTATTCCCACACTTTCAAAGTTCGGTGTGTAACCGAGAGATCAGGCGCAGGACCAACAGCTTCACGTGGGGCCTCATGGTCGGCAACGGCGTTTACGACCAATAGGCCTACAAAGCAATCACATCGCCAATAATACGTATTTTATCATAGTCAACTATCATGCATTGCATAACATGTACCGAATAACATACAAATAATACAAAATAATAAATACCTCGTCGCAATTAAAAATCAGCACAAGTCGCCCCAGTAAGCCGCCCAGTGCTTTAACGGATTCTGTTTTTCCAGTCCCAGCGGGGCCAAATGGATTACCCATTAAGCCGAGATGTAATGACTTGAAAGAAAACTCCATATTAGATTTCAATATATATATATATATATATATATATATATATATATATACTATCATCATCATTACAGTCTTACAAGACTACTGCTGGACATAAACCTCCCCTAAGGAATGCCACAAAACACGGTCCAAACAGAAACAGAAACAGAAACTTTTTTATTCAATGTAGATTATAAACAATACTTAGTGAAAGTCAATTTTTTCATTTACCATTGGTTCGCAAAAAAAACCTCTGTCCTGGGAAGAACGAGCAAGAAACCCAGCGGGACTATTAGGGACAAAGCCACCTGCATCCATCGTCTTCCTACATTTTATACCAAATTATTACTCCATCTATTGGAGCAGCCACCCTACACTGTACACGGTACGATCCTGTCAATCTAGTTCCTTTATTCTTCATCGGTTGCCTGCTCGCTCTTGTTCTTGTATCATTGGAAAGAAGTAATAAATAATTATTACTATTTTCTCTAATACATGTGAGGTCATGAAATCCTTTTTTAGTTTAGAAGTCTGCCTGAGTTAATACCACACCTATTCTTATTTCTACCGCAAAAGTACGAAGAGATTCTAGTATAATGTATAATTAAATATTGTGAGGCATTCCATCTTAGTGTGACGTGTGATTCTAGTGTGACGATGTATCAGCTTTCATTGCTTCAAGATGATTTAATGTGTAGCCATATACCATGAGGTTACAAGTTGACAAGTTGAGTTGGACAAGTTAGATGTTTTCTTATATATATATATATATATATATATATATATATATATATATATATATATATATATATATATATATATATATATATATATATATATATATATATTATGTAATTAAAAGATTCTTGATTTACTATAATATGGTTCCAGAACGAGTGTTGAAAACGCGTGAGTATACATACATACATATTCGTATACATAAGAAATACGTCATAAGAAAATTATCCAGCTCGTATTGAATATTTTTACATTATCAATTCTTCAAAAAAAATCATCAGTACTTCGCTCTTTTGATATTCGCTTGATTAATAGATTTTTTTGCAAATATGGTTTAGATGTAAGTTATGTCACTTAATAAGTGACAATAAAATTAAAAAAAAGTTGAACAACAGACTTCAATATAAATAAAATGAGAACGTCATCAATGTATTCGAAATCAATCAAATACGCACTATGAAGGATAACTTAAAAACTACTGGTCAGATCTTGATCAAATTTATATGGAATCACACGAAAAGCAGCAGCTTTCAAATAATGAGTCATCAAAATGGGTTTACCAAGAAAAAAATTCTGAGGTAACACAAATTAAAGAAATACAGTCGAATGTAATACCGCCTCCTTTTCGAAGTCGGTTAAAAATAATAAATCCTTTTTATTATCTTTAAGCCCTGTAAGGATTATAATACGTTCTTCAGACCGAATTTCGTTAAGGGCGGCGAGTCTCAATGGAGACTGGTCATCTGCACCGAACAGAATTAGTGTCCTCAAGGTCAGATTACTTCACTAGATGGTTGTACTCTTTTTTGCCTAAGAGTATCTAATAGGTGAGTGAAGTGAGAAGAAGGTGGTCTTCTTAATCATTTCTGCCGACAAGCAGCAGCGGATCAACTGCAGTGTGTTGGTCTGAGGCTGTGAGGCATTCCATCTTAGTCCTTACTGGTGATAACGTATCTGTAACCTTTTTTGTTTAGACAGATCACACGCAGGACTATAGGGTTTACGTGCTTCTTAGGCATGGGTGTGAAACAGCGCTCACTTATTTACTCTCGACTGCTACTGAGAATTTTGAGACAGAAATACCCATACACATAATCAACAGTCGCGCCAACGGAGTAAATTGAAGTATATATAAAATAAATGATTGTGTAAATGAAAAAAAAATTAAACTTTAAAGCAAACGTAAATATAAATAATCTACAAAAAATTTATGGCTATCTAGTACCTGAGTCAATATTAAGAAACACTCGTCAGCTTGTTCTGTGCGTACGAATTGTCCGGTGTTTACGCCTAGATATTCATACGAGTATGACATTCGAGCCAGTCCCATCTCCGCAACTATTTCTTTTGTCTTTAACAAATAAAATCTGGAAAAATAACGCCATACAAATACGAATAATTAGTTTCGAACCCGTCGAGAGAATCAAGGCTAGTGTTATAGAATATGTACAATTATATCTAATACTATCGGATTTTTCTCGGTGTGATCTAAAGTAATTCAAATTTGAACATAAACTTGGTGGTGAAAACCATACTCATGACCACCATTAAAAATCTTTCTATACATGATAACAAAACCATAAGCTTGCAGTTTTGATAAAAATCTGAATTATTTATACCTAACAGTCTTTCCCTCATTAATAGGATTATAGCATTGTTCTTCACGCCTTCCAGCAAAGTACAGCAAAGGAGTGGAGTTAGAATTTAATTTCGTTTTTACCGTTAAAGAATATCTACTACCCCATAACATATCGTGGGTGTCGTAAGAGGCGACAGTGGGGAAAAAACGAACAAAACTGCGGTAGGTACCCATTCCACCTACCGAGCGTGGAAACTAAGACAAATATTCCCGACATATAGATTTTGATAGGATATATAGAATTAATTAATGAAAAGGCAAACAGCAGAGCATTGACCTGCCTTTTTGTAAAAGGTTATTTAGTGATTGACGTTGATAACGATTAAACTTAAGTTATGTCAGGGGTGACTCTGGATTAAACTTTCGTACTGAACCATCCTTATCATCTTATGGAATTCCACTGACTGACAAAGTTTCTCCAATGTGTATCAACCAAAATTAGCAATTACAAAAAAGAACTTACCTGAGCTGCTTTTGCCAAAGCCAATCATTCGTCGAAGTAACGTTATTTTCAATCAAAGTCTCAACTACGGATTCATAATGAGCGCACTGGAGTATGAGAGCCTGTCGTTTCTGATTCTCGCTCTCATCCTCGGCCTCCGCTGTTGCGTAATAATTGTTTTCCTTTTCCACATTTGCTTTTAATTTATATAGTTCCTTAGAAGAAATAGCTCTCTCTGCTCGCTCGGTAAAACGAATATTTTGCGCCAAACAAAGTATCTGCGTAGGTAGCGAAAATGGATCCTGACCCTGCATATTGTAATTCTCTATGCACTTTAGCGATAAATTTTTCAACGACAATCGTATCTCGCTTTCAAGGTTCTTTAGCCATACCTATGGGCATTATATTACAAGTGAAACACCAGGACATAATATATTATATAATATAAATCTTAATAAGAAACACCATCATCCATTATACATAGTTGGTTTAGAATGCGAATTAGAAATTCGAAATAAGACTCATTTTTTAATTACCTCATTAATAGTTTGTTCCCATTATTTTTGTAAAACTTTTATAGACAAAGCAAAAAGTGAAGGTACTTAATATATTAATTAACAAAATATTCACATAATTTCACGAGGTGATACTTGTTAGTTTGTGGCATACTCTGAAAAACATAAGTAGTAAGTCTTAAACCTTATATAATATATGTATATATATATATATATATATATATATATATATATATATATATATATATATATACTATAAGGTTTAAGACTTACTACTTATTACGCATTTATGCAGTGTAGTGGCGGTTGAGAATATACACTACCCCATATCTTCCCGTGGGTGTCGTAAGCGGCGAGAGAGGGACAGGCAGGAGATGGGCAGCAGCATCTTTCTGATAACAACTGTGTTATAATAAAAAAAGGCCCCCAGTCCCCGGTGGATCCGCTATTCCTGGCTACGGTGGCGACCATGGTAACGGCGGGGCAGGGGGTGCTAAGAATCTCCGGTGGAGGTTCGGTTGCCACCTACGACGACTCGACCTGGCAACATATAACGCACGCACTCTGAGGACTGACGAGAAGATACTGGAGCTGGAAGAAGAGGTAGACAAGTTGCGCTGGCATATTATTGGATTATCCGAGGTCCGAAGAGAGGGGGAGGATACGGCAATCCTCCAGTCCGGCAACTTGTTCTACCACCGGGGAGGGCGACCATCTGTCCCAAGGAGGTGTCGGATTTATCGTCCACAAGTCTCTCGTCAACAACGTTGTAAAAATTGGGAGTGTGTCGACGAGGGTCGCGTACCTGATACTCAGAATCACCAAACGGTATTCGCTGAAGGTCATACAGGTTTACGCACCAACCTCGGCACATCCCGATGAGGAGGTGGAGGAAATGTATGAGGATATTTCCAGAGCCATGCATTCCTCCAAAACCCACTACACGGTGTTGATGGGAGACTTCAACGCAAAACTAGGCACAAGAGAAAGCGGTGAGCTGAGGGTGGGGAAATTTGGAGTAGGGCAACGTTACCGAAGGGGCCAGCAGCTGGCCGACTTTATGGAGAAAGAGGGACTCTTTATGATGAACTCTTTCTTCCAGAAGCGGCCCCACAGGAAATGGACCTGGTCGAGCCCGACGGTTCGACAAAAAATGAGATTGACTTCATTATGACGACCAGACGCCAACTGTTCAGTGATGTCTCAGTGATCGCAAGGGTGAAAATGGCAGCGATCACCGAATGGTTAGAGGCACACTGAACCTAAATGTTAAGTTGGAGAGGTCTCGTCTAATGAAGTCAACGCTCCGTCCCCCTCGTGCTCTAATCCAGAATCCCGAAACCTTTCAGCTCGAGTTACAAAACCGCTTTCAGTGCCTAGAGTATTGCAATGCAGTGGACGATATGAATGACAAGCTCGTGGAAACTGTCCATGCGGTCGGAGCTAAGTTCTGCAAGACCCGCCGCAGAAGAACACAAAAACTCTCCGATCACACTCTTAATCTCATGGCTGTTAGACGGGAGATGAGGCTGCAATCGTCAACAGATTTGACAGCATACAGGCAACTGAACAGACAGATCTCCAAATGCATGCGGCGAGACTTACGCAACTTTAATACTGCTCGTATTAAAGAAGCGATTGAGCGGAACCAGGGCTCCAAAGTCGTTGCCAGAGATCTGTCTGCCAGAAAGAGCCAACTGTCAAGGTTGAAGACTGAGTGTGGCAACATCGTTTCCGGGACACCTGAGATTCTGAGTGAGTATGAGAGGTTCTATGGGCAGCTGTACACATCGTCGTTGGAGCCACACGCAAGTGTGAGTAACGATCCAAGAGCAAGTCTTATCCGACACTATTCCGATGATATCCCGGACGTCAGTCTGAGCGAGATTAGAATGGCTCTCCACCACCTTAAAAACGGCAAGGCCCCGGGCGAGGATGGAATTACAGCGGAGCTTCTGAAAGCGGCTGGAACACCGGTACTTGAAGTCCTTCAGAAGCTCTTCAATTCCGTCCTCCATGGTGGCACTACTCCGGAGGCGTGGAGCAGAAGCGCGGTGGTCTTGTTCTTTAATAAAGGCGACAACGCTCTCTTGAAGAACTACAGACCGATTTCCCTTCTGAGCCGCGTCTACGTGCTGTTTTCGAGAGTCATTACGAATCGTCTCGCACGCAGACTCGCCGACTTCCAGCCTCCCGAACAAGCCGGTTTCCGAAAAGGCTTCAGTACCATAGACCACATACATACCCTTCGGCAAATTGTACAGAAGTCCGAAGAGTACAATCTGCCACTTTGCCTGGCATATGTGGACTATGAGAAAGCCTTTGATTCCGTCGAAATTTGGGCGGTGCTACAGTCTCTTCAGCGACAGCAGTTGACTGTCGGTATATTGAAGTGCTGAAGTGTTTGTACAGTAGGGCTACGATGGCTATCCGAGTACAGAACCAGAGTACGAAACCTATCCAACTGCAGAGAGGTGTAAGACAGGGTGATGTTATATCCCCGAAATTCTTCACCGCTGCGTTGGAAAACGTTTTCAAGCTACTGGACTGGAAAGGATACGGTATTAACATCAATGGCGAGTACATCACTCACCTTCGATTTGCCGACGATATAGTCCTTATGGCAGAATCGCTGGAGGACCTTAGCACTATGCTCAATGACCTCAATGGTGTCTCCCAACGGATAGGTCTTAAGATGAACATGGACAAAACAAAGATCATGTTTAATGTCCATGTCACACCTATGCCGGTAGTTGTTGGGAGCGCTATGCTCGAAGTTGTTGACGAGTACGATTACCTGGGACAAATAGTCCGACTAGGTAAGTCCAACTTCCACCGAGAGGTCAATCGACGGATTCAACTCGGCTGGGCAGCGTTCGGGAAATTACGACACATCTTCTCGTCAGGTATACCTCAATCTCTGAAAACTAAAGTGTATAACCAGTGCGTGTTGCCAGTGATGACTTACGGATCTGAGACGTGGTCTTTCACCGCTGGCCGTATGAGGACGCTCAAGGTCGCTCAGCGAGCTATGGAGAGGGCTATGCTCGGAGTTACACTGCGTGATAGACTCATAATTGAGGATATCCGCAGTAAAACCAGAGTGACCGACATAGCCCAACGGATTAGTAAGCTGAAGTGGCAATGGGCCGGCTATATAGCTCGAAGAACCGATAACTGATGGGGAAGAAAGGTTCTCGAGTGGCAGCCTCGTACCGGTAGGCGTAGTGTAGGGCGACCCCCCACTAGATGGAGTGACGACCTGGTAAGACATGCAGGAAGTCGATGGATGCAGGTGGCTCAGGACCGTGCTTTGTTGGCATTACTTGGGGGAGGCCTATGTTCAGCAGTGGACTTGTGAAGGGCTGTGCTGATATATATATATATATATATATATATATATATATATATATATATATATATATATATATATAAGGGTGACAAACGAGCACACAGTCCACCAGATGGTGAGTGGATGCTGTGGCCCATAGACGTCTACATTTATCCTCGATTAAGAATCAAAACGCAGATGCGTTGTCACCGCTGAGGACTAAGATGGAATGCCTCGATTCTAATAAAAAGGGTCGCCATTTCTCTACACTCACCATACGAAACACAGCAGCATTAAGCTGCTATTTTACGCTGGTATTCTGTGAGAGCGTTGTCCTTCCCCGGTCAAGCTGTATTTTGATTTTTTGGTCATCCAGAAGTTTATATTTTAATTTTACCCGGTTTCGGAATAATTTCTAATATTAACACAAGAAAGTGTAAAAACGAAACATTCATGCTACAACTATAATATAGCTGCAGCGTGGCTCTACCACGTATAAAACCTATTGTTATGTTATGTTCAGCTGTCAGCTGTCACATAAACAACCGTTTTCGTTTTGTAACAAATAATTTTCAATTAACAGTCTTAAACGAATAATATACAAAAATCTAAAGTATTTTTTCAATACAGATCTCAGTTTTGTACATGTAAACTAAAGGGGATGGAATAATTTGAGTCAATATATCGAATAGCTTCATTAGTGACGTACTTTTTTTAAAATAATTATAAGTTTTTATAAGCCATTTTTTATACGTGGTAGAACCATGCTGTAGTTATATTACCTTGGTAGTCACTAACTCAGGTACTCGTTTGCCCCCTCTTCTATAAAAAAAGCACGAATGGGTCGGCTCGACCGGGGAAGGACCACGCTCTCACAGAATACCAGCGTCAAATAGTAGCTTAATACTGCGTGTTTCGTATGGTGAGTGTAGAGAAATGGAGACCCTTTTTATTGGAATCGAGGCATTCCATCTTAGTTCTCAGCGGTGACAACACATATGCATTTTGATTCTTAATCGAGGATAGATGTAGATGTCTATGGGCCACAGCATCCACTTACCATCGAGTGGACTGTGTGCTCGTTTGTCACCCTATCCTATAAAAAATCACTTTTTAGAGTAACTGAGAATGTCAAAATGTTTTCTCCAAATACAAAACACGCCACAACGCGGTAAAAACCCTGAACCTTTAACTTGTCCCATACTGGGGTTGAGGAGCAGCATTACTAGTGCGAGGGTATCGGCTTCATAGAGAGTATTATCGTTCTGTGATTGGCTCTGCCCGCGCCTACACGCCGTGTGCATGCTAATCGGCGCATGCTTGGAAGAGCCTACGTCCAGCGGAAGACTTAACAACAGCTGTGATATTAAACTTTCAGAAATTTATTTAAGTTGAAGAAAAAATAGATACTAACCTATAGTAAACTTTGTCGGCTACAATTATATGCAACTCAGTAAAATTTAAGCTTTTAAAATTTAAGCTTTTAAAATATTTCCAAAGCAAAAAGTCTCAACAACTACATGGACAATTTTTTATTCCGATTAAAAAGTTGGGTGACTTACTTCCACAGAACAATCAATATCAACGGGATGATCAAGTTGGAAAATCTCGCCATAGTGACTACAAAGCGCCGTGATGGACATTCCAGAAGGTCCAAGCCGCACACTAGTTATACCAGGAAATAGTTTTTTAAGATGCGATTGTATTACAATTTCCCTGCCGTCAGCGCCATCTCTAGCTTGTCCTAACAATTCCAGAAGATCGTCATCGCTTAGGAAATACAATCTGGGGAAAATTGATCGCTTTTCCTGTAATAAAAAAATTAAGTACTAAATGATTTTTGTTACTAAAATTTTGAAAAAGAGATACAATGAAACACTAGTAAGCACAATTATTATTCTAATAAGTATGACTATAATATTGTTTTTGACACAAATAAATAAATACATATGCCGCTGGAAACTGGTCTCTACTTTCGTCGATTGTTATTATTAGATGTCTAACATTTTTGAAGATTGTCCCCGTCGCAGCGCCGAGTTGCGCGTTTTACATTATGCGCTTACAAGATGATAAACCTGTTATCATTAAAAGGCTACAACATCTCTGTTGCGTTTTTTACAGTCGGCATAAAAAAGTCAGCATCTAAAAGTTGTGACACTGGTGCGTTATGAGTGGCGTGACGATTTTATTTTTTACAATTAATGAATGTTAATAATTCTTGGAGTTTTCCTATGAAGCATTGTTTTGAGAAAAGTTTCGTCGTTTTCTGATGTTTTGAAATTATTATGATCAAAATTCAATAAGCAACATCATAAGTGATGGAGTACAACCCAGAGAGTATAATAATACACAAGTCTTAATTAGCAATTTGTTCACCGCTTTTTTACACCATTGTTTGCTAACGGGTTAGCAAAAGATGGGTGGAAAATGATGCATGCAGAAACCGAAATCGTACTCAGGTCTGATACTCAAATAAATGAAATCAAATATTTACTAACGGAATGTGACACTACGGCTAATTGTGACACTAAGACTTAATATTTTTATTACTTATTACTATTTTATTTTTGTTTTTTCTATAGCAACAATAATTTTTACAATGTATTTATGGGTAGGTATAATTTATATTTTTATTTATTATCTGAGAGTGCTCAATGATATCAAGATTCTAAAAAGTTCGATAAGAATTAAAATTTATACTTAAACTTTCCAGTAGAAATATGTTGTAATGCTTCCGATTTTCCATTCTAGATTTTGACAAATCTCCACGTTTCAATTTTCAAGGTCTTTCGATATTGTTGTCAAACTGGTTTCATTCGATTCAAACTTATATGCGCATTTATCAAAATAGGTTCAGCAGTTTTTATAATGGAGTGGCGACCAACCCTTGCCTCGCCTGGACAGATTCTATTAATATGACTTTATTTTGATATAAAATGATTAAAGGCCAGGTAAAAGCTTGTGAAACTCTCACACTCTCTTTTCTCTATTCTTATCATTTACTTCCTATCCTTTCTTGTATCCATACTACGCCTCAACTGTCATTAACTTGTGTCTTTATTTTGTTTTTTAACTGTTTAATATATGTACATCTAGCCCTTAGCCATTCAAAATACTTTTTCGTCAAAAGTATTTTCATTGAGTATCGAATCAATGACCTCAATACATAAAAATAAATCCATAAAAAATGTAACACACTATTTCATCCTCTTAGGGGTAGAATTTTCCGAAATCCATTTTCAGTGTATGCATACCTAACAAAAAGAACATAGTGTCCCTATTCACGCTTCTAAGTACAGTAGCTAGGTTACTAACTATGCATTTTAATATTTTTTTAAATCCTTGCAACCTCGTTTTAAAACCTTAAGGGTAAATCTAAAAAAAATTTGGGAATGGAAATTATATTATTTTATTATTCATTTTGCATGAGGGAGGGAGTGACTCAGGTTCTGGGAGGGCACGTAAAGGAGTGCTCTCTCTACTCTCGATATGTGGCCGTACCCAATTTCGCTACATAAAATCGTTCTCATACTTTTAGCTAGACATTAAATCCATATTATTAGCGTTACGATAACTACAGATATTGAATTATAAGATTAGTTTATTTTCTAATTGATTGACTTTAGATTCCACAACAAAAAATGTAATTGAAAAAATATATGGACTGCCGTTCATTAGTCTGAATGTCGGAGAGTCTTCTCGCATAATAGAAAAGTAAGCAAGAGATTGAGATATTATGTAATATTAAAAATAAGATTCCATATATTATAAGGAGGTCCCTATTGATTTTTGTTATTGAACTCAACACCGTTTAAAAGATATTAATGAAAACCGATCAGATTCTCTGTTTTTTTTTAATTTTAACATAATAAGCGCGCGAGGCGTGCACTTTTGTTTTTCGATATATATTTTATTGACAGAGTAAGTATTTTCAATAAGTTTTGAGTCAATCGCCTCGTAAAATAAAAAGTTTCATATAAATTGTAACACTCTATTTCTCTCAGGCGTTGAAATTTCAAAAATCCTTTCTTAGTGGATGCCTACGTCATAAAAGGCAGCTACTATCTTACATCTATTATTTATTTATTCTGTGCTAGTGTAGTAGTAATAGTTGATAGATAAGTCAGTCATTCAGATCCTCTTCTTTATACGAAGACATAAGGACATCAAGTGCTACCAAAACCAGTTTTTAAATAGATCTTTGGAGTGTCACTTCAGTCACAAAATAAAGACAGTTCAGTTCAGTTTTCTTACATACATATTCGTTTTACACGAACACAATATATGTATAACGTAGTTATTAAATCTATAGCACCTACTTATCCAAGATGTGTTTAAATATATTATAAACTACTCAAAACCAAATAGGGCCCACCATCATTCGTTTTTATTTTTTGTCTTAGAATAACTCGAGAGGTAATGATTACGAAAATAAAGCAGATTAGTGATGTTGTTGATCGTTGCTTTCTTGCACATATTTATTTGATTTTTTTGTTAATTGTGAATCCGATAGGTGATTCTCGACGTCATATGGACATGGAAACCGCGCCCGAGCAGTTGCTCTGTTTCGAGAGGGGGAGTCTCAGAGATCTGTAGCAATATGGGTCGGTGTACAGCGAAGAGCTACCCGAAACGTGTTGGGAACAATGCCAGGAAACCGGGAGAGTGGCTAGGAGACCTGGAACAGGAAGAGCTAGAGCTACAACTGCTCATGAAGACGGTTTTACCGGGTTAACTGCACGTTGGGAAGCGTACCGTAACCACCGGGGCCTTACAAACCCAACTGCAACAATCTACTTGTACACATGTCAGTGATCAAACCATTCGTAATCGCCTCCACGAAGATGGCTAACGTTTCAGAGTACGTGCTGTTCGACTCGAACTGACAAGGGCTCATCGTGTAGCTCGTTTAAGGTATGCTCGCGAACATCTGGACTAGACCATGGATAACTGGAGCACAGTACTTTTCACTTGAATGTAAAGTCAAGTTTTACAGGATGAAATAGAGTAAATGGGGCCCTGCACTCTATTGTGAAAAGTCAAAATGTGTCAAAAAAAGGCACGTATGACAATTTACAATGCTGTGTTAGTCCCTAGTTTAACGTATGGTAGTGAAAGTTGGGTGTGGCAGAAGAAGCACGAGAGTAGAATAAACGCAGTAGAAATGCGGTCGTTAAGGAGTATGTTAGGGCTGAATCTAAATGACCTGGTGAGAAATTGTATGATAAGAGAAGAGTGTGGTTTGCAAGATGATGTTGTGATCAGGATTAAGATAGGAATACTTCGGTGGTTTGGTCATGTGGAAAGAATGAACGAGGAAAGAGTGACAAAGCAAATTTATGTTGCAGAAGTGAACGGCAGAGTCAGAAAGGGACGTCCTAGGCGATAGTTTATCGACTAAATTGACGATATATTGAAAACGGCCAAATTAGGGGTACCCTTAACCGACGAGCATGTATGCGTAGGTATACATAAGTGGAGGAGGCGAGAGAGGTGTGTCAGGTACGTGCCAAATGGAAGTCTGTAGTCTCTGCCTACTCCTCTGGGTGACAGGTGTGAGTGTTTATGTTTATATGACAAACGAATACGCGTGTGGAGAAAACAAGGCGATCGATTTACAGAACCCAGCATCCGTGGAACAGACCCTTTCTGGGGTCCAAGTGTTATGGTGTGCGGTGGAGCAAGCTTAGTAGGTAAAACAGAGCTGGTAATTCAGGATGAGGGTTCTGTAACAGCTACTAGTTACGTTGAGCGAGTAACCCGACTTCTTGTCATTCCATTTTAACGATAATTAAGAGATGGTTTTGTGTTAATGTAAGATAATGTTCGCCCACATACAGCCCGTATCACACAAAGAGCTCTTTCTGACGTCAGTATCACAGTTTTGCCACGACCTGCCGTGAGTCCCGACCTCAATCCCATTGAACATTTATGGAATCAACTAAAAAGAGGCCTTAAAGGGAGCCAGCCTATAAGAGAGAGAAAGTATAAGAGCCGCATAGGCTAGCAGCACCAACATCATCGAAACCAGAGAGCCTTAAACAGAACGACAGTCAGGTGAACTCATAAACGCACTAATAGTCTGTTGGAAACGAATGCCGGAAGAAAATGTTACCCATCTCATCGAAAGGTCTCTCGCTACTAAGCATAACATTGCTTAAATAATAATCACAAAAAAATAGTGATAGGTTAAATTTTTGTTTTTCGTTATTTTGCTGCAATTTCCCTAAAAAGTGTGTATTGTGCATGTTTTTAAACAAACAAATAACTTTTAATATCGATTATTTTTAAACAATTTCTTAATCCCGAGTCTAAACACATCTGTCCGTAAAAACATATAAACATAAAAACTTTTTGATAACGGTCTAAAAAATTGTAGGGCGCTATTTGCTTTTTAGTGGTTTACTAACTACCCTATACAAATAAATAAAAATGAAGTGTCTGTTTGTAATGACAAAATGACAGATTTTTATTAAAAGCATCATCATCATCATTACAGCGCTTCACAAGTCCACTGCTGAACATAGGCCTCCCCTGCCACAGAGCACGGTCCTGAGCCACCTGCATCCATCGACTTCCTGCATGTCTTACCAGGTCGTTACTCCATCTAGTGGGGGGTCACCCTATTTAAAGGCATATGAAAGTATATATAAAAAAATTAAAAAATTGTCTGTCTGTCTGTTTGTTCTGGCAAATCTCCGAAACGGCTAGACCGATTTTGACGGGACTTTCACTGGCAGACAGCTGATATTATAAGGAAACATTTAGACTTATTAGAACCCATGAAATCTAATTGTAATCAATTCCAAGCGGGCGAAGTCGCGGTAGACAGCTAGTAATAACTAATTTTTATTCAAATATTGATTGTTTGAATTATGAATTTTGCAAACCCAACTTCCTATAATGTAGTTATTAATTCTAAAATGTACTTACATCTATATATACGTTTAGCTCTGATTGGCAAGCAGTAAGCTGTTCCGATATTGAGTCGAGTGTTGGTTGAAGTCTCGCCGATTGCAGCAAAGCAGAAATACGTGGATCGGAGTCAAGAATACGCGCTACTTGTCTGAAGCCCTGGTCCACTTTGCGAAACTTCATACCAAGCTCACTGTCGTCGTTGTACAAAATTGGTTCTAAGTACAACCACCTGCAATTTTAGTTGTAATTTAGTGTTCTACACTAACTTGTTGTTTATACGAGCTTTACAAATATTTTGTGTCCTCTAGGTATGTTGTCGTGTAATGCAGGTTTGAGATAATCCATCAGCCGTGTGGTTAAACTAGTTGGCAGCCATATATATACAAAAAATTATATATATATATATATATATATATGTATATGTATATATATACATACTAGCGTGCCAGGCAGACGTTGTTCTGCCTTTTTTGAAGACGCTTTGTCAAGTCCCACTAAAAATCCTTAAATTCGCAAAAAAAAAATGTGGTCAAAAAACTATCCTATCTCTTAAGTTGGACCAAACTGCACACAGTGTACAAATTTAATTAAAATCGGTTAAGTAGTTTAGGAGTCCAGCGGACAAACAACGTGACACGTAATTTATATGTATATATATATATATATATATATATATATATATATATATATATATATAATTGTAATATTGTTGCAGTCCATTATTATTACAGCCATTCACAAGTCTACAGCAGGCCTATCCCACGAAATGCAATAAAGCACAGTCCTGATGTACCTGAATCCACGGACTTTGTCTTACCAGATTATCACTTTTTTAGAGCGTACCCACCTTACACTCATGGTTCCTCATAGGGCCAACGGTGAAGGACCACGTGTCAGATTCATGTTATGTATCTAAGCACCACGCACGTTGTGCCATACGCGGGTCTCGTAAGAGGCAACGGAAGGAAACAAAGTCAGGAGATGGGCAGCAGCATCCTACTGATAACAAATTTACTAAGTAACCATAAATACATTATAAGTAATGTAAAATACATTATACATTACAATTTGATAGATATTTACATTACATTGTGTATTGTATTTGATTCACGTCATATCGCAACTAATTATTTAAATATATAAAGTCCAGTAGAGAAGCTGAATGTATTTGTCATTCCTGCTTCACAATGATTGCCCCCAATGTTACTCCTAAACTCCAAAAATTATTTACCCCCTAAAGCTTAAGTCAAAAATCCCTAAAAATCACCTTATTTACTTGGAAATGCACTAAAAATAAATACAATGTTTATAATGTTCTTTATATAAAAAAAATATTTATTTTTTCACATAATATTTCGTTTTCTTGTGATGGTTCCGACATATTATAATCATACATTTTAGTTAATTCATTAAATGTTATAAATGATGCACCCATTTCGTTGAAGTGTGAGTCATTTTATCATCACGCTTGGTATTATTTCAATAGATAACAAGAAATTGCAACAGGGATAATTAATGGAAAACATAAAACCCGAATTTTGAGATATTTTCAAAAGGTTTACAGTCAGCTGCGCCGCAATCATCGTAAACTTCTAAACAAAATTCAGCTAAAGTGGAAAAAATATAACAGTTCCTAAAAATAACAAGCTAAAAAAATCGCATCCCACTTGATTATTTCGTGAATGTATGGGGAAAACGCTTGCGGAGAGGTGGCACGCTTGGCAAGAGGGTTAGCAACCTCAGTTTATTTTTAGTTTTAGTCGCTATTAGAAAGACGCTGTTATCCATTCCTAGTTAGTTTCCCCCTATCGCATTTTACGAAACCCACTGGACGAGGGGTCATGCTTTTGTTTTTATTACTTTTTATTTTTTGCAATTTGCAAACCTTAAGATAATGGCAATACATCTTTCAGATGAAAATCAAAAAAATGGTATATAGGTCACATAACCTAAACCGTCTTAAGCTGGCTTTCCACTATGGGATATAATATATATTATAACCCGAAATATAAATTATATCCAGCGATTGCCCTTCACATTGTGAGATATATATTTTAACCAGTGTGCGTTCGTCATTGGACGATCTGAGACCTAGCGGAGGCGCGGAAAAGTGTGCTCGGTGCAGGAGGTGAAATATAATATGAAAATATTGCTCGGTCGATCGAAAAAATATTTATAGTTTGGGATGTAATATATATTATATCTCAGTGGAAACAGTTCCATTTAAAAGTACGGTCAGCGATATTAATTTATATCTCGAGATGTAATATAAATTACATATATTATATCCTATAGTGGAAAGTGAGCTTTACAGTGCTTATACAACTCATAGCTGAATATTGATGTGGCCTTAGCGCTACTTACATTATCAATTGCTTTTATAAGTGGCTCTCCAGGATTCTCCCCTCATCACATTATTATGGCGTATATATAAAGTACCTCTCCTAGAGTTATTAGAAGAAGGGATATATTGTTAAGCACCAATCTTTTTGTACCATTGAAAAACACAAGCATGGATCACCTTCGTTGTTTATAACAACTTATCTACAAGTCATTGATATTGAACATTGTAGATTATGATGTAAGCACAAATTTTATGAAACATTTTGCAGACATCAAACACGAAGCGGACCTCCACCAACTTTATTTCGCACTTATATAATAAAAAAATACACCAATAGCAAGAGGAGATTTCAATTAATACTTCTGATGTAATTATAAGATTAATTATTTCGATTATTATTAAAAAAATAATTGAAAATAATTTCACTTGGACGTCAGTTGCTCAGTATGGATGTGAACAAGATATCTTTCGAAAAATTGAACTTATCACTTCAATTTTTTAATAGCATTAGATTTTAATCTTTTAGAAGCCTTTGAATTTCACTATTGTAAACCGTTCCATTAATTAATATATTTCTATATTTTATTATTTGAATTTTTTTTTACGGTAACAAAGTACGAATAACCGGTATCAAGGAGTAAAAAATTTTCGTCTTCATTAAACAGAACAACTTTTTTATAGCTTTAAAAGAAATACGTGTTTCGGTAATTAATAGAAATTGATTATTCAAAATAACACGAGCGTTCGAGGTGTACACTTTTGGATTTTCTAAATATGTATTTTAATATTTGTTCATTCATTCACTTACTACACCACATAAAAGGTCCACAGCTGGACATAGGCATTGCGCACAGTTTTTTTTTTAATATAGATTTGGGTGACAAACGGGTACACAGTCCACCTGATGGTCAGTGGATTTTATAGTCCATAGACATCTATCAAAATACAGATGCGTTGTCACCCCTGAGGACTAAGATGAGATGCCTCGTTTCCCGTAAAAAGGATCTCCGGTACCCCTAGCACGAATATTTTGATCTATCGTATAGTTTACGCCACAGTTTAGTTTCAGTTAAATTTTGTATGGGAATTTGAACAGCGCTTCGTGGACGTATTTGGAACTAAAATTTAGAAGCACGAACATCTACCGCTACGTTACGTATCGCTTTCGTATAGTTTAACGTATAGTAAGACACAAAATGTATGGGAATCGGCAGCACGAATCTTTTTTTTGACGTACGTTATCGTCTATACACTGTAGAGAACTACGAAATCATTCTCACCGACATTTTTACGGTGAGAACGCTATCGTGAAGTCTTACTTTTAAATTTCTCTAAGTCCTTCGTTGATTTTAGTTATTATATTATTATATATGTTTTTATTAAGAAGAAATAGAATGAGATCCACGGCTTTTTATTATTTCGCGTGGCGTTTGGCAGTCGAGGCAAGAAAGCAAAGACGAGAATTAAGGTACATATAATTCCCTTAAATTAATTATTTAATGTATTAGTAATATTTTTATAGCAGTTTAAATTAAATATATCTAAATAATTCCAGTGGTGTTACACAACGCGTTTTTCTTCGACGAACTGAAGACCCTATGGATATTTCTGAATTGGAGTTTAAAAAAAGATATAGATTGAGTAAAAATGCATTTATATACCTTTGTCATGAACTTCGCTCTAAAACAAACTTGAGAGATAGTAAAAGAATAAGTTTAGAGCTTAAGGTATAAAACAATGCTCAAAGTTTATGTACCTGTCGTAGTTATTCTGTGACCTAAAATGTATTATTTATTTCATTTATGTTTTAGGTTCTTTGTGCTTTATCATTTTACGCAACGGGCTCATATCAACGTTTAGTTGGTATGGGTAAACATTTAGGCCAAACAAGTGTTAGCAAATGTGTTTCTCAAGTTACGGAGGCACTTAACAGCCAAATAATATGCAACAATTTTATCAAGTTCCCCACTTCAAGGGCTGAGAGAGACGTCATTAAGCAAAAGTACTTACAAACTTAAAATGTTGTGTTTTTAACTTTGTTAAATTCTCTAGTCGAATTAAATTAAAAAAATAATTATTTTTCACAGATTTTTGACTACATATAAGATACCGGGTGTCATTGGCTGCATAGATGGATCACATTTCCGCATATTTACACCACAAAAAGAAATTGAACACTTATTTTATTGCAGAAAGCATTTTCATTCCCTTAATGTACAAGTTGTAAGTTTAATTTGAAGGTACTCCATGTAGCTTGTAATCTAATGAGTAGTGGCGATATGGGAATATCCACTACCCCATATCTTCCGTTTCTCTAGTCGTAAGAGGCAACAGAGGGAAGGAGATGGGTAACAACACTTTCATAATAATTAATAAATGAAAAAACCGCGGTTGCCAATCCATTTGCGGGCAACTAGGTACGCCATAACTATGACATTAATAGGCTGTAATGATAATGATTATGGTGATGAATTTTGAACTAAGTATTAAATAAAGTACGTTGATATTTTATGTTATTATTTGAAAACTAACAAAAAATTATTTGTAGGTTTGTGACAGTGAATGCCGCATTTTAAATGTGAATGCAAAATATGGAGGTGCCACCCATGATGCTTTTATTTGGGATAATAGCCTAGTAAACCAGTATATGCAAGAATTACATCTTAACAATGAACAAGTATGGCTACTTGGTAAGTTGTGTTATTATGTTAGCTTCAAAAAATGCTTTTTACAGGTTAATTAAATGTCCTTTTTAGTTTTCCAATTTAATTTTTATAATTATTTTTAATACTTTTTATAATGAATATCATCCTTTTTATAATATAAATAATACATTTTCATAATAGGTGCAGGTGATTCTGGATATCCACAAAGGCCATGG